GAACTAAAAAGCCTCTTGATGAAAGTGAAAGAGGAGAGTGAAAAAGTTGGCTTAAAGCTCAACATTCAGAAAACTAAGATTATGGCATCTGGTCCCATCACTTCATGGCAAATAGATGGGGAAACAGTGGAAACAGTTGGCTGACTTTATTTTCTGGGGTTCCAAAATCACTGCAGATGGTGATTGCAGCCATGAAATTAAAAGATGATTACTCCTTGGAAGGAAAATTGTGACCAACCTAGACAGCATATTAAAAAGCAGAGACATTACTTTGCCAACAAAAGTCCATCTAGTCAAGGCTATGGTTTTTCCAGTGGTCATGTATGGATGTGAGAGTTGGACTATAAAGAAAGCTGAGTGCTGAAGAATTGATGCTTTTGAACTGTGGTGTTGGAGAAAACTCTTGAGAGTCCCTTGGATTGCAAGGAGATCCAACCAGTCCATCCTAAAGGAGATCAGTCCTGCATGTTCATTGGAAGGACTGATGTCGAAGCTGAAACTCCAATACTTTGGCCACCTGATTTGAAGAGCTGACTCATTTGAAAAGACCCTGATGCTGGGAAAGATTGAGGGCAGAAGGAGAAGGAGATGACAGAGGATGAGATGGTTGGATGGCATCACCTACTCAATGGACATGAGTTTGGGTAGGCTCCGGGAGTTGGTGACGGATAGGGAGGGCTGGCGTGCTGCAGTTCATGGGGTTACAAATAGTTGGACACGACTGGGTGACTGAACTGAACTGACCAGGGAACTAGATCCTACATGCCACAACTAAGAGTTAGAATGCAGGAACTAAAGATCCTACATGCTGCAAGGAAGACTGAAGATCCCACGTGCCACAGCTAAGACCCAGCACAGTCAAATAAATAAATAAAAGTATTTTCAAAAAATTCTGGTCCACCATCACCACCACCTTGCCCCAAATACACTCCTCCCACAGATTTCCCCTCTTAGTAAATGCCACATCCGTCCTTCCAGCTGCCATTTTTCTCATATATCACAACCAGTCTGTCAGCATACACAGCAGGCTTTTTCTTCTTCAAAATACATTCAGAATTGGACTAATACAACCTGGGAGATACTTTCCTCAAGGGAAAGGGCAGAAGTTCCAACAGGTCTGGTTGAAACTCACCAAGATTGTTAAGGCCCCAGCTGACATTGGCACCCTGGTACTTCTGCCTACAGTTCATTGGCCAGAACAAGTTACATGGAGAAGCTCAATACCAATGAACTAAGTATTCTCACATAAACTAGGGCATTAATAAGGGAAAGGAGGAAAGGATGAATTGTGAACAAATAATACAATCTACCATAGATTACAATACACCATCAAGACCTTGTCTATCTTACCATCTCTTGTCTCAGACTCTGTTTCATAGTCTTCCACATAGTATATTAGTCTCTTAGTGCTTCCATAACAAAGTACCGCAAACTAGGTATTTCACAATGACAGATATTTATTACAGTTCTAGAGGCTAGAAGTCTAATATCAAGGTGTTGGCAGAGCTTCACTCCATTCGAAGCCTCTAAGTGGGGATCCATCCTTGCCTCTTCCAGCTTTTGGTAACACCAGGCATCACTTGGCTTGTGGTAGCTAATGCTAACATCTGCTTCCATCTTTACATGGCTGCCTTCTTCCCTCTGCCTGAAGACATCCCACAGTGTTAGACCTCAAAGGGCATGACTATTTGAGGACCAAAGGGCAGATTCTAGTGGGTTGAATTGTTTCCCCAAAAAAGAGAATATTGAGGAGCTAAACTTCAATACCTATAAGTGTGACCTTATTTGGAAATAGGATCTTTTCAGAAGTAATTAAGTTAAGATGAGGCCACAGTGAATTAGGATGGCCCTAATCCAATATAGCTAGCATCCTTTTAAGAGACTTATGAATGCAGGGAGAAAATGGCTCACAACAGAGGCAGAGATTGGAGTGAAGCAACTACAAGCCAAGGAACACTAAAAATTGCCAGCAATCTACCAGAAGCTAGGAAGAACAAAGAAATATTCTGCTCATGAGCACATGACTTGTTCAAAATATTTGAAATATTCAAATGCCAATGCATTAAAAGACTTATTTTTTAAATTTAGACAGTTGTGGATCGACTTAAATATCTGAACCTGAAAAGAGCAGCTGTTATAACCAAACTTCAAAGTACAGAGGAAGATATTAATGACACAATGGAAAATGTAAGTTATTTTTAACTGTTTGAAAGTCTACCCTTTCCCTCTATGTTGTGCCCTTAATTTGTATCCTTTCAAGATTTAAAAGAGTCTCAGAATACCTTTTATAAAAGTAGATTTGATTTTTCAGAAGCTATAATATTGGCACAATATCCTTGTAAACACTAAACAAAAGTTTTGAAACAAAGAAAGACAATAAATCAGAACAATTTAATAAGTATAATAAGAAATAAAGAAACCCAAGTTTAGTTTTAAAAAATTGCAACACCAAAGGCATACAGCCCTCAATTCTTTAAATATTCATTCATTCCCTCCATCATTCAACCAATTTTTAAAATAACTACTAATAAGTGATGTATTGTGGATGTGTAACGGTCATCAATTATTATTGCCAGGTGCTAAAAGGGCCACCAAGACTTTTTAGCTTGAGGATTTAATCTATTCTGGGAAGTTTAGATTCACCTTTTTAAAAAAATAGGAACTAAACAACTAATGCCAGAATCGTAAGTGGATATTATAATTCAAATAAAATGATCTTTAAGGATAGAGGTTATTTTGTTTTCCTGTACTGTGTAATCCCTAGATTTTAATGAGTGAACATAGCTGGGAATAGGTAACAAGAATTGATACTGAAGAGGAGGAAAGGTGGGCCTGATGCACACAGAGAGCCTGTACTGAGCCTCTTCTTCTAGGTCATCATTGAAGGAAAATTTTTAAGTATTCAGAAAACCTGGACGTTTTTCCAGCCTGCAGTCCCCAGGGTCTCGGCGTTATGGAAAGGACGATGGCGTCGAGGAGGGTCCAAGCCAGGATAGGGCAGCTCCGGGCACCGCTGCAGCTCCGAGCATGGTGGGCGGCTGGCCACTGTGGCTAGTTCTCAAGTTCTCGCGGGAAAAGAATGAGAATGAGCCTGAGAGGCCCTGGGAGAGTGAACCCCAGGAGAGGAGGGCGCTAGCGAGGGAGAGGGCTAGTGGAGGGTAGCTTCACAAGGAGAAGCCAAATGGGCTTAAGCTTTCTCCTCTTTTGGTTCAGCCTCTCCCAAAGGTAAGCATCCAGTCTTTTGGCTGAGGTCTTCTGAAGAGGCAGTGGCTGACTAAGGGAAGTGGGGTGCAGCCCTGCCCACTAGAACCTCCTCTTAAAGACTCTCAGCCAACCCTGTCTTCTGCTGTCCATTCCTCCCCTTCAGAGGTGCCTGCTGTCAGGTGCTGAGCCTTTCTGGAACTGTGCAATGACTTGACTTGCTTCTTCTTGTCCTCAACCCATCCTCCATCACCCTCCCTGCCACCACTGAGCTTTCACTTTCCTCTGACCTCAGTTACCACTAGTCCATCTGCTTTTTAGTTTACAGAAGTATGTAGCTGCAACTGCCCAGCTGTCAGCTCTTCTGGTCTCTTCTCTCCTGTTTCTCTGTCCATTTCTCATGAAATGAACTCTGCTATGATTTTCACAAGGTTTTAGGAAATCAGCAAACCCAAATGCATGTGTTCAGTCTGCCTTGTTTAACCAGAGGCAGTCCTGATTGTTTTTAAGGCTGTGATATCAAATTCATTTGAAAGCTCATCTTCTCATTTCCCCAATAGATACATGGCCCAGAGACTTGAGAGGGGAGCATGGTCGGCTATCCAAACACTTTCCCCAAGTTTGGACAGGAGATAGGGATGGTGAGGAAAAAGCAGCTGCTTCCTGATGACTGAACTGTGTACCAAGGAAAAGGCTACCCACTCCAGTATTCTGGTCTGGAGAATTCCAAGGACTGTATAATCCATGGGGTCGCAAAGAGTCAGACACAACAGAATGACTTTCATTTTCACTTTCCATCCCTAGCTCATTGTCTGTTGATTCATGGAGAAGGGTGGTTGCCCAGTGTACCACACTAACAAAGTTCTCAGTCTCCTGCAGCTCGCCTAAGCTTCCTTCAGGTTTAGCTTCTTGCAGCCTACTAGTGGGGACATCCATGCAGGATCTCCACAACCGGCATGCCTCTTTGCTCTCTGATGCTGCCACAGTAGTGCTTAACTTCTTTGGAGGTGATGAATGGAAGATTACTTTTATATTTAAGAAAAATGAAAGAGCTAAGTCAGTACAAATCTGCCTATGACATCTTACTATTTTAAAACTTAGATAAATTAACTAATGTAACTATTCTCAAAACTTTTCAATAACAATTTTTCAGACTTTCCTGAAATAGATAATAAAAAACACTTTATCCACCTTATGCTCATTCTACCCTACAAGAGAAAATACTTGGTAAAATTTAAACAAGGTCTTAAAATAGAAATAAAAACAATTTATCTAAGTAAATGTTGGACAAGTGCAGATGGCTGCAATTAAGAAAAAAAAATTTCCTGTCCTAATTATTTCTTAAATAGTAGAGCATGGTCAAATAACAAATGAAATAATAAAGTGAATTTCAGCAAAACTTATGCCCACATGTTTAATGTTTGTTACTAACAGGATGAACTGTTCCGTACTCTCGCATCTTGTAAACTTATTGCACCAAGATATAGATGGCAGAGAAGCAGATGGGGACGTACATGTCCTGTAACTTTAAAAGAAGGTAACATTTTTCAAGGATTGCCAGATTTTTCTGTGAGGTAGGTAAGATTTTCAGAATTTAATTTTAAAATTTGCCCATACTTCTTTTCAGTTGTTTATGATAATGACATATTTTTAGTTTTCTAGGTAAAATGTACTGTCTTTCATCAGAAGAAGCATTAAAAACATTTCTATTGAACCCACGTCCCTATCTTCTTCCACCTATGCCAGCACCACCATTTAAAGTATTCATATTGGGACCTCAGTCTTCAGGGAAAACAACACTCAGCAATTTGCTTGCAAAACATTTCAAAGGAAAGGTAACTACTTAGTTGATTTAATTTGCATTTCCCTTATGACTAATGAAGTTCAACATTTTTTTATATGTTATTCATGTATTCTCTTTTAGAAGTGTGGGTTCAAGCTTCTTGCTCATTCTTAACTTTTTTCATCATTATTGGCAGAAGTTCCTTATGTTGTATACATACAAATTTTTTGTTATAGGCATTATGAATATTTTTTACTATTCTGCTTTGCCTTTTCACTTTGTAAATGAAAAATGTACCATAATATATTCATTTAAAGTAAGTCATTAAGTCCTGCCTAACTGAAGAAGATGGGAATTAGCCTTCACCTTCTGAAGAAAAGAGTATTAAAGGATTTGTGGATATATTTTAAAACCATCACAGTATGTGTCAGACAAAAGAATTATAATTTTAAAATGTAAATCATTTTTACAAATCAATATTTAAAAACCCCAGTGGAAAAGTTCAGCAAACAGGCAATTCATGAAATAATTGATCCAAATAGCCTTTACACATGAGAAAAGGATTATCACCTTAATAATCAGGGAGAAGCCAAAAAACCTGGAGATACATTATGTCAACCTCACTGTTGAAAAATCACCCAATACTGATGTGTGGCTAGGATTAGGAAAGTACACTCTCATACATTGCTGGTTAGAGTGTAACCATTCTGGATAGCTATTGGACATATCTATAAAAGTCTAAAATCAATGCATATCCTTTGGACTATAGATTTTTCTTGAAGAAACTATCAAAGATATATACATAGCCATAGGCTAGTTTATAATAGGAAAATCATGTATATCTGAATATGTATTATTGTTACTTTAAATAAGTTGTAACATTTTTATCTAATATAATACTTACATCCATTAAAAATGATAGGGCATATATTCATGCATATTTAACGAATCTAGAAGAATGGTACTGATGAACCTATTTGCAGGGCAGGAATAGAGATGCAGACATAAAGACAAGACTGGACACGGCAGGGACAGAGGGTGGGGCAAATTGAGAGAGTAGCAGTGAAACATATACATTACCATATATAAGCCAGATAGCTAATGGGAAGTTCTGTGTAACACAGGGAGCTCAATGTGGTTCTCTGTGACAATCTAGAGGGGCAGGACCAATACTGATGTGTGGCTAGGATTAGGAAAGTACACTCTCATACATTGCTGGTTAGAGTGTAACCATTCTGGATAGCTATTGGACATATCTATAAAAGTCTAAAATCAATGCATATCCTTTGAACTATAGATTTTTCTTGAAGAAACTATCAAAGATATATACATAGCCATAGCCTAGTTTATAATAGGAAAATCATGTATATCTGAATATGTATTATTGGTACTTTAAATAAGTTGTAACATTTTTATCTAATACAATACTTACATCCATTAAAAATGATAGGGCATATATTCATGCATATTTAATGAATCTAGAAGAATGGTACTGATGAACCTATTTGCAGGGCAGGAATAGAGATGCAGACATAAAGACAAGACTGGACACAGCAGGGACAGAGGGTGGGGCAAATTGAGAGAGTAGCAGTGAAACATATACATTACCATATATAAGCCAGATAGCTGATGGGAAGTTCTGTGTAACACAGGGAGCTCAATGTGGTTCTCTGTGACAATCTAGAGGGGCAGGATGGGGTGGGGGTGGTAGGGAGTTTCAAGAGGGAGGGGACATATGTATACTTAATGGCTGATTCACATAGTTGTGTGGCAAAAGTCAATACAATATTGTATTAATAAAGCAATTATTCCCCAATTAAAAATAAAAATTTTTTAAATTAATGGATTAATTTAGCTGTGTGACTTGGATGGTACATCTCAATAAAGCCATATTTTTAAGTTAAAAAACAGTGGTGTGAAGAAAATGATGGTGTGGATGTATTTTTATTGGCATAAAATAAAATAATACAAGCATATTGAAGGAAAAGAAAAATGGAATCTAGAAATATGAAAATATTATTTAAACTTAAAGGGCATATATAGAAATCTAACATCCCAATATTCAGTATTAAGTATATTATCTACCAAAAGACTTATATTCAAAATATATGTAGAATTCTAACCTAGTTTTTTAAAAGTTGAACATATGCTTAAAAACATATGGGTAAATGAACTACCAATACACTCATTAAATTGTTAGTGATAGGGATAGTTAAATTTACAATACAATGAGATTTCTCACCAACTAGGGTGGCTAAAATGTAAAAGATTTACAAAATCAAGTGCTAATGATGAGGTGGAATAACTGCAATTTTAATACTTTGCTGCTAGGAATATAAACTAGTTTCAACCACTCTGGAAACAGTTCAGTGGTTTAGTATAAAGTCAAACATACACTTATCATATGACCTAGTAATTCTACTCCTCGCTGTTTATCCAACAGAAATGAAGACATAGGTCCACCAAAAGACTTTCTCACAAGCGTTCATTGCTTCTTTATTTATAATAGCCCAAACTAGAAACAACCCAAACGTCCATGATGAATGAATTAAAAAACAACATATTCATACAATTATACTGCTCAAAAATACAAAGGAATAGATTACTGAGACATATAGTTATATTGTTGAACCTCAAAAACATTATGCCAAGGGAGAAAAGCTTGGGGAAGATTATATACTGTTTGGTTCCATTTATATGAAATTCTAGAAAAGGCAAAACTTATCTGTATTTGATGGAAATCAAAGGGGTTACTAAGGGCCAGGCACTGACTATAAAGGATGATGAGGAGACTTTAGGGGGTGATAAAAATGTTCTATGTTTTTATTGTAGTGGTTTTTATGTATGTATTTGTAAAAACTCATCAAACTCTGTACTTAAAATGGGTGCCTTTTATTGTATGTAGACTATAAATAAAATGTTGATGTTTAAAATATATACGTAATTTGAATACATATTACATGATCATACATATATAAATATATATACTAGCTTTCTTTGAAAGCTAGCACTTAAAAATCGGTGAATTCTGAAAAATAACATACTTCAAGCAGCATTAAGATTTTTGAGATACATAGGTATAGCTGTAGAAATAGATGTTGATGAGCAATGTGCTTAGTTTTCAGAGTAACTTGTGCTTATATTGATTTTCTCAAATATTCTTTGCAGGTAATTGACTATGATAAAGTAATTCAACCACGTTTTGATAAAGCCCTTGAAATGTTAACCAGAAACACTATAGCGGAGGCCACTGAAGCAGCCATTAAAGTTGTCAAAGAACGGCTTCTCTTAGAACTACAAGCTAAAAGAGGTGAGCCATTTTTTTAATGTGTGTTTTAGCAGTAGTCAAGCCTGGCTACCTGAGGGCAAGGTCTTGGTTTGTTTGTCTTGATATCCCTGGCATCTTGCACACTGCAGCCTCAGAATAAGTGGTTGAAGAAATGAGCATACACTGAGAAAAAGATTCCAACTCTGGACTTCTAAGGAAAGGAATCACAAAGAGCTTTCAAATTTAGATTTCTTTTCTTTTATGGATCTGCTTCCTGGGCAGAATTGACACCTTTATTTACACCAGTGGCGATGACAACAACAGTTTGTCTGACTCGTGGAGTTTGTGTTGCTGCTGCTGCTGCTGTTCTAGGCCTCTGTGTCAGCCTTGATTGTAATTCAGTGTTTTTATTTGGGGAATATTATTTTCAGATACAAAACGTTATACATGGAAAAGTCATCGATGAGGAGACAGAAGCGCAAGAGGTTAAATGGCTTCCTGAAATTCATCCAGATGGTGGCATAGCTAAGACATGAACATCCTCTATTTGTCAGAATCTGCTATCAGGATTTCACTAGCTTTTTACATATACACTGGAAAGCTTCCCATCATTTCCTATGCTTGAAACTATTTAAAGATCAAGGAAATTACTTCTTCTTGCATGGCAATATTGAGCTTTTGCTAGGAAAGAACACAGGTTTTGCCTAATAAATCTGCCTCTCTTCTTTCTCATTAACCTATAATTAAGTAAGAAAGTCCAACCTGATGCCTGGGAGATTACAAAAAACAACCACAAAAAGACCAGCACTGAAATAATATGCCATCCAAATGATCATGGATCAGTGGTAAAGAATCCGCCTGGAATGCAGGAAACGCAGCAGACACAGGTTCAGTCCCTGCGTTTGGAAGATCCCCTGGGATAGGAAATGGCAACAAACTCCAGTATTCTTGCCTGGGTAATCCCATGGACAGAGGAAAGTGGTGGGCTACCGTCCATAGGGTCACAAAGAGTCAGACACAACTGAGCGATTGAGCACAGATAATAAAGAATGAATTTATCTGTTTATCATATTATCTTCAGAATTAATACCAAAATTAAAAAATACTCTTAGACAACCTGGAAATATTGACCCAAACTTGGCTTGTCATTCAATTTTGAATAACAGAAATGGATAACTGACTCAAAAATGAATTTTTTAATTCAAAATTGAATATTTTGAAATGAATTCAAAATTCATTAAAAATGAATAATTTTTAAATTAAAAATGAATTCATTCAAAAATGAATAATTCTTTCAACAAACACTTGAGCACCTTCTTATGTTAGATATCATTCTAAACATTGAGCTACAGAGGTGAACAAGACACCTGAAGCTCCTGTCGTTGAGGTAGTTACATGTTAATAGAGGGTGTGTGTGCCCAGTCCTGTCCAACTCTTTGCAACCCCATGGATTGTAGGCTGACAGGCTCCCCTGTCCATGGGATTTTCCAGGCAAGAATACTGGAGTGGATTGCCATTTCTTCCTCCAGGGGATCTTCCAGACACAGGAATTGAATCCACATCTCCTGCATTGGCAGGTGGATTCTTAACCATTGAGGCACCTGAGAAGCCCTTAACGGGTACAGGGTAAAAATAAACCAAAACACATGTAACACAGTAATGGGGCAGGTGGCAATTGGGTTATGGACACTGGGGTGTTAGGATGATCAGGAAAAACCTCTCTGAAGAGGGAAGAATATTTAATTGAAACCTGATTGGACAGAGGAAGCAAGGCTCCTTAAAGATGAACAGTGATCTATAATGTTTTTCAGAGTCTGTAGTGATTCCTTTCACATCAAATTGTGGCATGATATCACAGATTTTACAGCTTTCCACAAATTGTCTTTTCTCACCAGAATATAGAAATAGATGATATCTCTCATATGCTGCAAACCAAAATCTCTTTTCTTTTTCAAATTCACTAATTATTCCAAATCTGACAATAAGGTCAGTGTTAGTCACTTAGTCGCGTCTGACTCTTTGTGACCCCAGGCACTGTAGACCACCGAAATCCTCTGTCCGTGGGAGTCTCCAGGCAAGAACACTGGAGTGGGTTGCCATTCCCTTCTCCAGGAGACCTTCCCAACCCAGGAATCCTGCATTGCAAGCAGATTCTTTACCATCTGAGTCACCAGGGAAGCCCCCAGACAATAAGGTTAACCCTTCTTAAAATTTAAAAAATTGGATTTTTTTGGCCAGGGATTTTACTCCAACATATTTTTTTAAGAAGTTTTGTCAGTGGAAAATATTGAGGCTTTTTAACATAGAAAGTTATATAATATAATAATACAGAAGATGGCAGCTAACTTGGAGCAGGCTTCCAAGTGTGCCAAGCCTTTTCTATGTTCCTTGTTGACACCCATCATCTCATTTGATGTTGCAACTGTGTTTTTAGTTGAATGATCCTCTTTTTGCCCAGTAAAAATTGAGACAGGAAGATAAAATGATTCCAACTGAGACAGGGAAAGCAAATGATTTGCAAAAATCACATTGACTCAGAACTCACATGCTCAAGGTTGTCTACCTGCCACCCAGCTACCCTTTGCTAACACAGTCAATTACTATCTTACAGCTCAGTCAATTTCAAAAGAACTTCAAGAAGAATCTGAAAGGAAGGAAAGGGAAATCCCAAAGGATGGATATAGAAGTACAGAAGAATTGCAGTCGTCACTTGATGAAGATGGTAAAGAAAATGTTGCTAATGTTATTGGCCAAATCTTTCCTAGTATAAACAGATTAGCTGATAGAGTATATTATTCTTTCACTGCAGTGCTCGCTTTTGAATCCCAAAGAGAAAGCTCTTTAGAAGACAGTGAAGAAGCCAAAATGAAGTCAGATGATAAAGATGGTAACAACATGAGCTGCTAATGCCATGCTCGTGGAATTTATTTCCATTTATTTCATATGTTATCATGTTTATATTGAAGCTTAAACTTATTCTCACCTCATCCTCAAATTGGAAACTTTAGGAGTAAAAGAGTTAAGTTTTCCTCTTACAGATTTAAACTGACCAACTGTAGAACAGAAATAAATCTACTAGAATGAAGAAGAAAACAGAACACAAGTCTAATACTATTGGAATGCTCTCTAAAATTTTTTGTACCTTTCCAAACATGATACAATCATCATTGTACAATAATAAATTCTTTCTTAAAAGCTCTCTGCTTCCTTTAATGGATTGGAATCAGAGCATCATAAATCCAGAGTTGTAGCTGTGAAATGTTTATCATTTAGTGCTATTTACCACTCCAGTATTCTTGACTAGAGAATTTCATGGACAGAGGAGCCTAACAGGCTAATTGTCCATGGGGTCACAAAGAGTCAGACAACTAACACTTTCACTTTACACTCTCCTAAAACTTTTCCATTTATATTTTAACATAATCAAGAGCATACAAAGTAAACTACTTTTATTTTTTATTTGTGTTACATTTAATTGTATAATATCATTAGAAAATAATTTAACCATCATTTAAAATTATTGCATCATTTCTTTACTTAGAGGTATTAGTTTTAACTAGTTCATTTCGCTACTACAAAAAATTCAATGAATTTTTTCCATTGAATTTTTTACATAAAGTTTTGCCTGCATGTTGACACAAATGGAGTTACTACTTTAATGAGTAAGAAGTAACAGAAAGTCAAATTGCTTTGCATAAAGTTTCAATTTGTGTTCCCATCAGGAATATGCAAACTACATGTCCTAGTTTCCTCAGTATTTTCTCTTCTTAAATATTATTTTAATTTTTATTTGACTATTTCTGAAGTTTAGTGTTGTAATACTGTGTTAGCTATATATATTTCTTCTTTTCTGAGGTGACCACTTTTGTCTTTTGCCCATTTTTCTAAATTGTTGTATCAATTATATGGTTTTAGTATAAATGTTCTATATCAGTCACTTATTTTTCATATTTTTTTCCAAATTGAGTGGTTTGTCTTTTAAGTCGCCTTGCTGACTTTGAGGTAGCAGAGTTTTTCACATTTTCATAGTCAAATAATTACTTTCCATTTGTTAATTTCTTCCATTTACTTTCCAGCTTAAAAGTCTTCCTCTCAACCAGAGATTTCATATATACTTTTTTTTTAAAGTTGGCGCTGCCTTTTTGTATTTAGCTTTCAATTCCATCTACAGTTTATTGTGTTATATAATGTAGGACTGATCTTTTTTATTTGGTTCCTCCTCCTGATCAGACAGATGTGTCTTTGCCTTGTGTTTATTTCAAGCTGAGTAGGAATTGAACTGGGCACTGGCAGAAAGATATACGGCATCCTCCTTTCCCAGCCTGCATACGCGCACACACACCCACACACAGGCATCATATGAAACTGAAATTACTCCTGGTTTTGTTATCTGACTTTCTACTGCTGATAAATATGTCTACCTATTTGATTATTATGGTTGTTATTTTAATTATTTAAGAAATTAGGAGCATTGAGTCCTGGGTCCTTGGGCCCATACCACAATCTTCCTTAGGAATCACCTACAGTTTAAGTACTGTTCTTTATGTGTTTAATAGAGTTTTATTTTCAGATGAAAAAGAAATAAATGAAATGTTTACACTTCAAAGAAGTCAGCAAGACTCTAGTCGAGATCTAAAGAAGGATTCCAGAAAAGGTAAATTATTACTAGGGTGATTTGGTTTTCTTAGACTGTGGTAAAAATCACAAATAGTTCCTTCAGAATTTTGAAGGATAACCATGTACTTTTTTATTTAAAAATCTTATTAATATTCACTTACTCTATCTTAAGTCACTCGGTCATGTCCAACTCTTTCCCCACCCCTGCCCCATGGACTATACAGTCCATGGAATTCTCTAGGCCAGAATACTGGAGTGGGTAGCCCTTCCCTTCTCCAGGGGATCTTCCCAACCCAGTAATCAAACTGCGGTCTTCTACTTGCAGGTGGATTCTTTACCAACTGAGCTATCAGGGAAACCTTTACTCTGTCTTAAAGACTACTATAATATGAACAGTTGGACATGCAGTAACACAAATAGAAGAATATGTGATATACTGTTTTCATGAACAAGAATATTGGAAAGATAGGATATCTGTCTTTCTGTTCTGTCATTCCTGGCATGTGGCTGCAATAATAGTTCACAAGATGGCTGCTAGTATGCCAGCTATTACATCAGTGGGCAAGAAGAGGGAAAAGGCAAGAGACAAGAAAATAACACTCCATCCAGCTGAGTTCAGTCAGTCCAGTTCAGTCACTCAGTCGTGTCCAACTCTTTGTGACCCCATGAACTGCAGCATGCCAGGCCTCCCTGTCTATGACCAACTCCCGGAGTCTACCCAAACCCATGTCCATTGAGTCAGTGATGCCATCCAACCATCTCATCCTCTGTCGTCCCCGTCTCCTCCTGCCCCTAATCCCTCCCAGTGTCAGGGTCTTTTCCAGTGAGTCAGCTCTTCACATCAGGTGGCCAAAATATTGGAGTTTCAGCTTCAACATCCGTCCTTCCAATGAACACCCAGGATTGATCTCCTTTAGGATTGACTGGCTGGATCTCCTTGCAATCCAAGGGACTCTCAAGAGTCTTCTCCAACACCACAGTTCAGAAGCATCAATTCTTCGGCACTCAGCTTTCTTTATAGTCCAACTCTCACATCCATACATGACCACTGGAAAAACCATAGCCTTGACTAGATGGACCTTTGTTGGCAAAGTAATGTCTCTGCTTTTTAATATGCTGTCTAGGTTGGTCATAACTTTCCTTCCAAGGANTTTTTCTGGAACTCTCTTGCTTTTTTCGATGATCCAGCAGATATTGGCAATCTGATCCCTTGTTCCGCTGCCTTTTCTAAAACCAGCTTGAACATCTGGAAGTTCACGGTTCACGTATTGCTGAAGCCTGGCTTGGAGAATTTTGAGCATTACTTTACTAGCATGTGAGATGAGTGCAATTGTGCGGTAGTTTGATTATTCTTTGGCATTGCCTTTCTTTGGGATTGGAATGAAAACTGACCTTTTCCAGTCCTGTGGCCACTGCTGAGTTATTCCTCTTTAAAGAGAAAACAACAAGACTCAGCCCCAAAAAATTCTTCTTGCATTTTATCTACCAGTGAAACTATCAATATAAGGGAAGTTAGGAGATATAGTGTTTTTAAATAGCTAGGCACATTGCTGACCCTAACAAAATCAACATTCTATTACTAAGGGAAAGGAGAACTGGATATTGTGTAGGCAAGTAGTATCTTCTGGCACATTTAGTATTTTTGCCTGGCTATTTCTGCTTCCTCATGTCCCCTTTCACAGGCTATGGGAAGATCTTGGGTTCTTGCCTCTGACTATCCAGGAATTGCTGGTTTTCTGTATCTCTGAGAACAGACTTCTCACTTCGTGACAGGGAGGGCAGCAGGCAGCTGCTCCTCAAAAGTCCTTTTGGATTTTTTCTGGGAGAGGATCAGTTAGGCTCTGGCGGGAGACCCTGATGGATGGAGCTCAGAAAGTACTACTGGAAAGGCCGAGGTAGAAGCGTCTGGTGGAGCTGCCAATCTCTTGTCCTGTTAGACACGTGGATGAATGTTTATATTACAGTGCAGCCTATAAGCCAGCTCAGCTACGTAAGAAAGCATTCAGCACACGGTGAGGCAGGAATCAAGGCTAACACCTGAAAACCCAGCCTAAGCCACGTATGCCTCCCATCCTCTTGCCCACCTCCTGTCCTTTTATTGTCCCATGTAGTCTCATGCATGTAATTTAGGGCTTCCCTGGTGGCTCAGTGGTAAAGGACCCGTCTGCAAGTGCAGGAGACATGGGTTCAATCTCCGGTCTGGGAAGATCCCACATGCCGCAGAGCTACTAAGCCTGTGCACCACAACTATTGAACCTATGCCCTAGAGCCCGGGAGCTGCAATTAATGAGCTCATGTGCTGCAACTACTGAAGCCCACATGCCCTAGAACCCATGCTCCACAAGAGAAGTCTTCACAAGTAGAGAAAAGTCCCCACTAGAGCTCTTCCCCAACTAAATAAAAGCCCACACAGCAACGAAGACCTAGCACAGCCAAAAATAAATAATAAATGCAATTATTAATTGAAAGTATTTATTTTGTTTTCTGACTCGTTCTTTAGTTGGCTGTCTTTTAACTTGACTCCTGGAAGCCTTTGGTTCCTACCTCTTCTCCCTGGTTTTCTAAGTTTTTACTGCTGCCTGACATGAGTTTTTTTCTTGCCTCATATGCTTTCATTCTGATGCACTGGCTTTAAGCCACTGTTCTACTATTTTGTGATTCCAGATTTATTTCCTCCCTAGTCTATTTCTCCCTTTTTCTGGCATGTTCAGCAGTAACACCAAGAGTGCTTCCTTGGGTTAGGTATTTATGATCATGTTCTGTTGCAAATAACATTGTCTACTAAAATTATTAATGGCATTAGTTTATTGATTTATTTTACTTTAGATGTAACGGACTATGAGATAGAAGAGGTAACTGCTGATCATCCAGAAGTTCTTTCCATAATAGATGAAACAGTAAAAATGGCAAAGGATATGAACTTTGAACAGCCACATGAAAAAATTGCTGAAATCTTAGATGAAGTTCTCCAAGAGGTAAGAAATCCAGAATCTTTATTTTTATCTCTGATTTAACAGTATCTGAGAAAATGTTAACCTGGTATATGTACAATTATTTTTGAATCCCATATGACAGTGTGGAAATCTATAGCCTTCTAATTCATGTGCATTTTACAGTAACACTGTTAGTATGTAATGTACCCTAGTTGCTTATAAATTTTACATCAATGCATCTGCATGCTTAGTCATGTCTGACTCTTTTCGACCCTTTGAACTATGGCCCACCAGTCTCCTCTGTCCATGGGGTTTTCCATGCAAGGATACTGGAGTGGGTTGCCATTTCCTTCTCCAGGGGATCTTCCTGACCCAGGGATTGAACCCACGTCTCCTGTGTCTCCTGCGTTACAGGTGGATTCTTTACCCACTGAGCCATCAGGGAAGCCCTTATCAACAGTTTTACAATATAATTGCATAGCTGTGATGTTTCTTCTTCATTAACTTTTATTATCTTTAATTCAGCTTAGTTGGTTAAAAGATAGTGCATATTAAGCAAGTATCGAAGGTAGACTTTTCATCTATGAGCTAATTATATGTAAACCAACACAAATTTTGTTCTATAGCTAACTAATCTCTTCCAACCATATTGAACATGTGTTCATGGAAGAGATAGATGGACACACCATTGATTTTCCAATCTAAGGGGAAAATAAAGCTTCAGGTCCTATGTCCTACCCATAGTAAATCAGAATACTTATGAAGACTGTATGGATCCGTTTTGTACAGAGACCTTGTGTAAGCATTCAGAGCAAAAGTCAAAGAGAACAAATAACTTTGGGTCTTTCAGTAAACTTCTTCTGTATGTCTCTGTAATTTGAAAATGATATAATTTGAAATTATGACACAGTGGGTAAAACCCTCAAGCCCCAGGCTATATCCAAGGCAAGCTGTTATTCCCCTCTGAGCTTCCCAGAGAGATCTTTCAACCTCTGTATTTCTTTCAGTTGTGCTGTCATCAATTTATTCCTTTAGAAATATTCTGAACACCTGCTGTGCTAGAGCCAGGGGATATGAAGATGAATTAAACAAAGCTCTTCCTGTTAAGGAGCTATAAGTCAGGTAGGGGAGGTGACATAGAACCCAATAATTAACTATCATGTGCTCAGTGGTAACTAGATATGTGTGTATGTGTGGTGAGAACTTTCAAGATCTACTCTCTTAGCAACTTTCAAATATACAATACAGTAATGTTAACTGCTGTACATTATACCCTCAGTACTTATTTATCTTTTAACTGGAAGTTTGTACCTTTTGACCATGCATGTGTGCGTGCTAAGTTGCTTCAGTAATGTCCAACTCTGTGATCCTGTGGACTGTAGTCTGCCAGGCTCCTCTGTCCATGGGATTCTCTAGGCAAGAATACTGGAGTGGGTTGCTATGCCCTCCTCCAGGGGATCTTCCTGACCCAGGGATCAAACCCGCATCTCTTGCGGCTCCTGCTTTGCCAGTGAATTCTTTACTGCTGAGCCACCGGGAAAGCCCTACCTTTTCACCGTTTCACCCATTTTCCCCCACCTCTTCCTCTGTCTCTGTCAGCCACCAATCTCTTCTCTGATTTTATGAATTTGGTTTTTCTAGATTCCACAATAAGTGAGGTCATATAGTATTTGTCTTTCTTTAACTTATTTCACTTATACTACTTCATTAGAGCTTTTCCCTCCTCATTCTCTTATGTGAAACTGTTCAAAGTGTTTAAAATTCTTTATTTTTTTTTCCAAAATACTCTTCATTCACATGGAAATTTCAAAAAGCAGGTAAATCTGCATACGCCAAACGGCTACACTGGTCCTCTCAAGATTTCTTTCCCTTGACTTCTAATATTCTATGACTTCCTGATTGCATACAGATTTGTTTAAAACCTTCAGAATTGGTGTATTCACAGATCCACATCACTAATCTCCACATTTGTATTGAAGTTGTTATAATTGGGTGGCAGGTGGGGGATAGTTTAGCAGAACTCACAAAGCACCTGCAAGATTTGTTTTGAACCAGTTTCTTTCTACAGCTGTTAGTAAACATCTCAGGACCTCTCAGCTCTCACATTAAAAGCTAAAAATCTAAAGGGAAGTAAAGAGCATTGTCACTTAAAAAGGCAGGCTGAGCACGGACCTGGTGACTCAAAGAGTATACCAGGGACCATTGTCACCTGAGACCATGTTAGAAATACAGACTCATGGGCCCTACCCTTGACCTTCTGAATCAGGACCTAGATTCTGTAATATGGAATAAGATATAGCAAGCATGTTTTGTTATATTTATTTAGCAGAGGCTTTAGCTTCTTGTTCTTAATGTACAGCTTTAGTGCTTTCAAATTGTTTCTCTTTTAAAATTAAGTGGCTCTTTTTTTTTCTTCTGAAAGTCAGAAGAACTCAAAAGATACTTGGTTAACATCCAGGAAAGTGATGTATCAGGGTAACGTCCTTGACTTGGGTACCTGTGATGGTAATTTCAGAGTGCCATTTTTCACAGGTAGCTGAAGAAAACAGGAACAGGTTTTATGGTGCCCCCAAATATGGCGGATGGATACTGGACAACTTCCCTCTTATGAAAGACCTCTGGATGGCCTTAGTCGACAAAGGAGTTCTACCCGATTTGGTCATCTGTTTATCAGACACAGAAAACAATGGTTGGTAAATACTTATCATGTCCATTCAGAGTGAAGTTTTTACTGCTGATAATATTTTTAGTTTATATTTTTGTGAAATATAAAATGGGAAACTCTCCACCTTCCCTGGGTACAACAAATACCACCCCCGAAGTCCCTTCATGACCTAGAGGTACACAAAAGGAAACATCCCACCACTGAGTAAGTGGCCACGGGTGATATGCTAGGTCACTGGATGCTCCAGCAGGCTCTTGTCATTATTCCTTGGGACTGAGGAGTTAACAACCCTCTTCCCAGTCAGCATTATAACTTCAGAATGAAAAATATATAAGGCTGAGGGCAAAGCTATCTGTTAATCCTTTTTCCCCTCAAATGGGAAATACTAAGTACATAAAGATAGCAGAACTAAATTTTAATTATTCTGTCACTGTGTGTAAAGCTATAATAATAAAAGATTATGGCACTACCAGAAAAAAATGACATAGACCAGTCAAACTGAATAAAGAGCCCAGAGATAAACTCACACATATATAGTCAACTAATCTTTGACAAGGGAGCCAAAAATATTCTGTTATTTTGCATCTTAAGGAAATAAATTTGAAAAGAAAATTTCCAGGGGGGAGGCTATATTATACTATTTTTTATGTTTTAGTTACTTAAAGTATGTCAACATATACCTTTTTAAAAGGATTTAAGATGGTCTCAAAAAATCTGGGCTCTATTTAGATAAATACTTAAAGGAAAATATATTTGGATATAGACAGAAATAATTTTTCATTTCTAATTTCCAAAATATATCTCACTATATTTTGTAGAGCTTCAAAATTAATATTACTCTTTATCTCTATTTCAGGAAAATATTTATATAATAGACTGTATTTAAAGAATAAACAAGAAATTGACTCTAAGATTTTAGAAAGATTATTAGATGAACTACTAAAGGAAAGAAAAGAGGAAGAAGCAACAAGGTAATCTGCCTGGGACAATAAATGAGATTAATTAACCTCTTACAACTGTTAAAAATCTACTTATAATTTATATTTATAAAATGTCTTTAACATCAAAACGGGCCTACTAACAAGATCCAATTCTAATTCTAAGAAAAATAGTAATTTCACAAATATTGCCAGAATCTCTAAAGTATATAGCTGTGGATGTTTTTACAGTCCCAAGTCAGACATTCTAAAGCAAATATTTACCTTCAAAAGACTTTGTGGAAAAAATGGCCTGGTGGTCCAGAGGCCAAAACTTCGAGTTTCCAGTGTAGGGGGCCTGGGTTCGATCCTTGGTCAAGGAACTAGATCCCATATGCCTCAACTAAGAGTTTGAATGTTGCAACTAAGACCCAGTGCAGTCAAATAAATAAATAAATATGTTTTTGAAAATGAACATAGAGGGCTTTGGGTGCAGGAGGGGGTGGAGGAAAAAAAAAAAGAAAAAAAATAAAAAGAAAAAATAAAAATGAACATAGAGAAAGTATAGTTTTTCTACTGTATTTATCTGTGACTTAATTTTACTAACTAGAATCCACAGGTCAAAGAAATAATATAAAAAGCGAAAATACACTTGTGTCATGTGACTAAAATTCAAAGCTTGACTAAGTTCTACATAAGGTAAAGAATAAGACTAGTTATTTATAACTAATAGGTTCAACATCAAATGCTTATTCTTGGGACTTCCTGATGGTTCAGTGGCTAAGACTCTGAGCTCCCGATATGGAGGATGTCAACTCAATCCCTGGTGGAGTAACTAGATCCCACATGCCACATTAAGACTTGGTGCAACCAAATAAATAAATAAATAAAATACTTTGAAAAAAATTGGTCAGAGATGCAATGCAACTTGGTTGGAAAAGAGATAAAATTCATAGGATTTAGAATTATATTTTTGGCCAAATATCTACAGACATGCTGATTCTACATGTTTTCCAGCATCAGTTTCCGAATGTGCTGGTCAAATGCAAGATAATTTCTTTTATCACCATTTGTCTTTGATCTCCCCAAGTAGTATATGGAAGTAGCTAGAAACTGGCAGCAAAATTCTTCCTCCTCCTTGTCAGATCTTAGATTATTAGCAGCAGCAACATATAGTATCCAGGTTTTGAATGAGGAAAGCATCACAAAAGAGCCCTACCTAACTAGGATAAGTAGAATTGCCAATTCACACGATATCAAGTAGGAAAGACATGCAGAAATAATGCTCAATAGTCTCAAAGGTCTGGGTCATGAACAAGAAAACTAAAATTACACTAAGACTTCAGTCTGGATCACAGGGTCACAGGGTTTAGAATATAGTGAGACAATACTTCCTATTAACAAGAAACAGGATTTGTGGTCCACTGGTTACGAATCTGCCTGCCAGTTCAGGGGACCACCGGTTCAATCCCTGGTCTGGGAAGATTCCACATGTCTCAGGGCAACCAAGTCCATGTACCACAACTATAGAACCCACAGTCTAGAGTCTGTGAGCTGCAACTACTGAAGCCCACACACCCTAAAGCCCATGCTCTGCAACAAGAGAAGCCACGTCAATGTGAAGCTCAAGCACCGCAACTAGAGAGTAGCCCCCTGCTTGCTGCAACTAGAAAAGAACCCGGGCGCAGCAACAAAGACCCAGCACAGCCAAAAATAAATAAAACAAGATACACATTGTTGGGAGGAGAGGTGTAGTAATATATTTGAAGAGACTATGTATAAAGATTTTCAAAGGAAGGGGGAAAGGACACCAAAAGAACACGGAGTAGGAGAGAATGACCCACCTACAGAACAGTCTGAAGAAGACTGTCCAGAGTGACCTACTCATGACTGGGCTCTACTCCCCTTAACTGGTCCCCTGTTGGTGACTGCTTGATACAGTTTTTTGATACTGTTTTTAAAGATGCAGTCAACATTCTTATACATGTTTCTTTGTGTAATAGTATGCCAATACCTGAGGGCTAAATTCCTAGTTCTTCAACCCTAATGAAAAACAGATTCCTTATCCCAAATGTCTTAAAATTTCATCATTACTTTGTTGAAAAGAAAATAAATTAATTTTCTGAATACAAAGAAAATTTGCAAATTTTCTACTTATTCATACAGAAAAAAATTTAAAGTGCAAAAAATGTGAAGTAAAATTTAAAAACTATCAGAATGCCACCATCCATAGATAATTGCTATTAACGGTTTGATTTGCTATTTTAATTAGTTTGCTATTAATTTAGTTAAGTTGGTATTAACAGTTTGATTCATTTTATTCTAGTCTTTTAATCTTCATTTATATACATTTTAAAGAAAAAATTTGTATTATACATAGTTTTATACTATACCTTTTTTCACTTAACTCTATGTTGTGAACATTTCTCATTTAATCAGAGGGAAAATGATACAAATTCTCCCAGCTTAGAGTTAGACAATCCTTTATTACTTTTTCCAGGTTTCCTAATTAATAGCCAGAGTTTTAAAAAATACATTTTAATTTTTCTTACCAAAAAAAATCCCCAAAACACACAAAAAATTCTGAAAATTAACTAGCCTCAATATGAGTAAATTAAATATTTATGTGGTAAAGTAAAAAGTATAGTGAATATTATAACTGATTTATTCTTTATTTTTACCATTATAAGCCTTAAAATCTATGATATTGTAAGATATTTGAATTTCCAAAGGTAACTACATTTTGGACCTTTTCATTTCAGAAAAGTCAAGGAAGAGGCATTGAGAATAGAAGAAGAAAATCGAAAGCTATTGGAAGCTCTGGCTGCAAAAGCAAAAGGCAAACACAAGATTATATGATTAATAATGTGTCATTTGATTTTGTATTGTGACTGCAAAGTTGCAGTATTTACAGAGAATTATAAACAGAGTGACCATATTTCCCAGTTTGCCCATTAGAGTCCAAGTTTATGCCCAGGTTCCTGAAATATTTGTTTGACTTCCTCTCTGTCTCATTGTGTTCCAATTTGGATAATACATTGTGTGGTCACAGCAGTAATGAATTCATAGAAAATGGATTCCTGACAGAGACACCTACTCATCCACCTTGTAAGATGCATACACAGCAGGACCAGGATGTACAACATGTCTTTAAATTTTCTAGTAGGCACATAAAAAAATAAAAAGAAACAAATGAAATTAATTACAGTCATCCCTCAATATCCATCAAGAATTGGTCCCAGGACTCCTGCAGATACCAAAAATTCATGAATTCTTAAGTCTCTTATATAAAATGGCATATTATGTGTGTATAACCTAAACACATCGGCATATACTTTAAATCATCTCTAGATAACTTATAATGTCTAATAAAGTGTAAATGCTATGTAAATAGTTGCCAGCATGCAGCAAATTCAAATTTTTCTTTTTGGAACTATCTGAAAATTTTTTTAAAAATATTTTAAATATGTGGTTGGTTGAATCCGTGGATACAGAACCTGAAGCTTCAGAAAACCAACTGTATATTTTACTTAATATGGATTGGGATGGGGAACACATGTAGATCCATGTCTGATTCGTGTCAGTGTATGGCAAAAACCACTACAATATTGTAAAGTAATTAGCCTCCAACTAATAAAAAATAAATGAAAAAAATATATACATACTATATCAAAATTATTACTTTAACATAATGCAAATTATGTTAAACTTAATTAACATTGATTAATGCATATAATCAATGCAAAAACTAGTGATATATTTTTATATTCAGTTTTTCACACTAAGTCTCTGAAGTCCATTGTGTATTTTACACTCACCGCACATCTCTGTTTGGACTAGCCACATTTCAAGTGCTCAGTAGCCACATGTGGCTTGTGGCTATGTAACGGAGAGTGTAGGAATAGCCATTCCCTATTAAATGGAGTGTGGAAAATTCTGAAAGAGATGAGAATACCAGACCACCTGACCTGCCTCTTGAGAAACCTGTATACAGGTCAGGAAGCAACAGTTAGAACTGGACATGGAACAACAGACTGGTTCCAAATAGGAAATGGAGTACGNAAAAAGGAGGAGAAGGGGACGACAAAGAATGAGATGGTTGGATGGCATCACCAACTCAATGGACATGAGTTTGAGTAAACTCTGGGAATTGGTGATAGACAGGGAGGCCTGGTGTGCTGTGATTCATGGGGTCGCAAAGAGACATGACTGAGCGACTGAACTGAACTGACTGACTGATTAAATGGATATTTGGGCTGTTTCCTGTCTTTTGCTATTATAATATTTGTGACTGCTGTATGCTATGGCATATATTTGGGAATATATTTTATATTCCATTTTAATAGATATAACATACAGAGACTGTATCCCTCTTTTTCATTAAGCATCATGCTCCAGGGGTTGTTCCCAATTAAATATCTGCTGAATGAAACTAAATAATTTATTTCTTCTCATTTTTTTCTAACAGCAGAAGAAGATGAAGCTGAGGCTTTTGAGGATATTGAAGGTGAGGAGTCTGAACTTCACGAAGGGTCTGAGGCCCCTGAGGTTGCTGAGGAGACCAGGGGGGTCTTACACAAAGAGTCTGACCTTTTTGAAGTCCCAGAAACAGAACGCGAATCAGGTTAGACTTTTATTAAAGAGTGTGTCCTTAATTCCACTGCTGCCTATGGACATGTTTGTGTGCATGTGTGTGTATGTGTGTTGATGTGGTATAAAGTGGAAGCAGGCTGAGATTGCAGAGATGTGCCCCCAGAGAGCAGCAGGTGGCTAGAAGTATAGTAGGAAAGCTGAGTGCTCTGGCCTGGTGCTGGCACTCTTGTCAGGGTCTGCTATATAATTTGGGGGGCACAATGTTCAAAAATCAGGAAAAAAGACAAATTAAAAGTACAAGAATATAAAGCTCTTTCTTTCCTTCCTTGGTCTCTCTTAACTTGTCATAGTACTTTATGTTTGCTGTTTAAAGTCATTCTAAGTAAAGAAAAATTAAAATTTTAAGTTCTTAAGCATGAATTTTACCATTCATCTTTATGTTGCCCCAATGCCACTTTTAAATGCAAACCTAAGAAAGGATGTGATGAGGTTCCATGGTCATTCATGCCTCTTTAAATGCCATTACCTTCATTCTGCATCTGGAGCAAGTTCTAATTTGAAGGGGAACCATGGTCAGGCCTGTCAGCATCTTCCCATCCCCAAATCACTAAGTCACACTTATTCCCACACATTTTGGGTCCTCTTAGAATTCTGTGCTCATGATGGGGTATCAGGAACGCTCATGGGAATGAGATGGCAGAGAATGGCAGACAGATCGCGCGTATCTCTGCTCACAGGCATGCCCTATTGTCCCGCTGGAGTCCCTTCGGATTTTGCTTACAAAACTCAAGTCAAAGACCAAAATGACAACCAAAGTGCTTTAAAGTATGGGGCCATTCTGGGCAAGAGTTACAGGACACCCGCGCCACTTATATACCCATGAAGCCAGCCCTCCTCAAATGTCCAGTTCGGTGGGTTGGGACAGGGCCAGAAGGAGTCAAAAAGGCAACAAAAATCACTCTCAGGACGAGACTGGACTTAAGCAGCAAGATTGGGCACTTCACCGTGGGGGAAGCGAGGCTCTTAAATACCTTGAAACACAATTAGTATTGAATTACTCCCTCTTCTCTTGAGTATTAAGCATTGTAGATTCTATAGAAAGAGGACCCAACTATTATTTTAGCTAACTTGCAGGACAGTTTTCACAGTTTTACGGAATGGCTATATATAGATTTTTTAAGTATATATGTGTGTGTGTGTGTGTGTGTGTGTGACACACAAAACTTGTGTCTCAGAACTAGGAAAGACTAAGGGGAGAAAAGAAAGATAATTAGTCCTTCCTTCCCTGAAACTATCTACACTAGATCTGTACGTGAATCATGTCTTTTATTATCCAGAAAAGCAGTTGTTGATCTGTATCTTCAACAGTGCTATTAGTTGAGATTCTCCTCAGTTTCATCACAGCTACACCCACAACTGAGACTTTGGCCACTTTATGGTCTTTTTCATCACACCTACACCCACAACTGAGACTTTGGCCACTTTATGGTCTTTTGGAATATCTTTACGGGTATCTCAAGAAATTAAAAGAATGCTCAGGCAGTTTTGATGCCATGAACAGAAGTTTGAATGATATTTAACAACAGTTATCAGAACTGTATGTATCAATTATTATTCTGGTCAACGTCCTTTTGTGTATTTAAGAATATTCTTCATTTTCTGCCTTATTTTATTGTGTATTTTTATGCCCCCCTGGAACTGAACAGTGGGTTCGTGTGTTTGCAGTGTAGAAAACTAAACTCTGACCACAGATGTCTGCAGCAAAGTAAGGGCCTAGCGGTAGGATGCCAAGCAAGGGAGTGGGAGACAAGCCTGAGATCCACTCCAATTTGGTCTTTGAGTTGGGGGGACTTAAGGAGGAGAGGGCTTCCCAGGTGGCACTAGTAGTAAAAAACTCACCTGCCAACGCAAAGGATGTAAGAGACATGGGTTCGATCCCTGGGTCAGGAAGATCCCCTGGAGGAGGGCATGGCAACCCACTCCAGTATTCTTGCCTGGAGAATCCCATGGACAGAGGAGCCTGGTGGGCTGCAGTCCATAGGGCTGCAAAGAGTTGGACACGAATGAAGCAACTTAGCTCATGCACAAGGGGGAAGAATAAAGAATCTGCAGTTAATCATCATCCTGTGACATTTCTTTATCATTGTTTTGGGGGTCAGGATGCCTAGAGTTTATGAATCTTTTTATGAGTATCTGGTGATTCATGATCCAGGGATCTGTTAGCTCATCTTGCCCTGGAGAAACAACCTGAATATGTACATTAATGGTGTTATCTGATTCTGGTTGATTAGTGTTCACCTAGCACAGAAATGAGGTCAGAGGGGACAAGAAAGGGAATAACATTTTGAATAAAGAGATTAATCATAAACTCAGCAGGGGAACTCGGTTTTAGGGGAAATCAGTACTTTACCTAATTGGAGAAGGTACCAGAGACCCACTCCAGTACTCTTGCCTGGACAATCCCATGGATGGAGGAGCCTGGTAGGCTGCGGTCCATGGGGTCGCTAAGAGTTGGACATGACTGATCGACTTCAATTTCACTTTTCACTTTTCGTGCACTGGGGAAGGAAATGGCAACCCACTCCAGTGTTCTTGCCTGGAGAATCCCAGGGACAGAGGAGCCTAGTGGGCTGCTGTCTATGGGGTCGCACAGAGTCGGACACGACTGACGCGACTTAGCAGCAGCAGTACTCTACCTAATGAGAACTGTATTATCAATTTGACATAGTATATACAATTTAAACTTTCAAAATTTTCTTTGTGCCAAAATTTTCATAAAGGAATAATGTTTTTAAAACTCGAACACTAACTATTAGATATTTTTTTAAGTATCTGAGCCTCCTGAGGATGCTACAGTTGGAGCAGAATTTCCAAAAGGATCCGGAGAGGGCCTGGAAACTAAAGAATTACCTGAAACAGGTTAGATTATAAAATAAAAGTAGTGCATAGAAGTACTTTTCATATTCTCTTACAATTTAGGCATAAAACCAATTTCCTACTTATTTCTTTCTATGCCAGTTGTATGCAGGTTGATGTGTGTTATATTTATCTGACTTATTATGTTAAAAGTGTATCTAGCCAACTTATAACAGTTTTTCAACAAATTTTATGTTCTACTTTTATTAACAAAGTTGCCATATGAAATTCATGTTAATTATCTAAATAATTTGGATTTTATTTATAAGTAACAGTTCATCTACAGCCAAAACAATGAACAAAGCATAGTTGAAATATGAATTTATAAATGCATATTATTGCTTAGAACTCTAAGTTTATTTTTTTCAAATGTTTAAAAAGTATTATAAATTATTTTGGCAATATAGCTAAAGATATATGCTTGAAGGCTCTTTTTTCTTTTAACCTTTACTCCAAAGTTCTACTACCTGAATTTCCAGAAGATGGTTATCCTGATGTTCCTGAAATGGATTCAATTAGAGAGAATGTCAGCTCTTTCTATGCTGCGTGGAAACAGGTGGAAACAGCTATCGGTGACTCTTCTACTCAAATTTTAAACCTGGAGATTGCTGGCAAAACTCCAGAGGAACTACTTCAAAAAGTCGTTGAAATTATGGAAAGTAAGGGCTGCAGTAATCATAACACTTATTGTCATGAGCAAGCCATATTATGAAAAGTACTGTGAAAGTTTAAAGCCTATGGTTTATGAAGTAAAACATTCAGGATACCCAGGGATGATATTTAAAATATTTAACAACTGTCCTAGAACACCCATCAGATTAGCCATGAGACACACAGCACTGACCAAACTGGCCACTCGTCATGTAAAGAATTTGTAAACGCCTGTTTGCCTACACATGTAAGCTAAGAGACCAGCCCTATAGTTAATTTTCTTAATCTTGCTACCGTAATATGTTCATATGCTTTTATCCTAAAAATGTCTTCCCAACTGTTTGTTTGTTTGTTTTTGAAAGAACCCTTTCACCATGCTGGTTGGGAATTAACTATGGAAGATTATGATGAAGAAACAGAAGACTATCAGGCTGAAGCCGATGTCGATGAGGAGTTAGAAGAGGAAGAAGAGGAAGAGGAAGAGGTGGGAGGCTTTTCTCCTGCTCACTGCCCGTGGTCACATCACTGAAAGTGCACATATCCAGAGTGGTAACTGGCACTTCTAGACTTCAAGAAAACAAGCAGGCATCTTCAGATTTGTAAACATTTTCAACACATTTTGCCTCCACTCAGCTTCCTTTGACCTCTGAAATGCCAGAGCTACTTAGACAGTATGTTACACCCATGAAAAAAGGAAAGAGAATGGAAAAATCTATACATATTAGAGATAGAAATATTTTATACATTTAACAGAAGTGGGTGTTTTATGTAAAATACAACAGTGGCATCTCTGAAGGGCTGCTGGCATGAAAACGAGTAGTTTTCTCAAAGAGGAACAACTCATTTTAGGCACCAATCTACTCCCTTGGCACCACAATTCTGATAACTATTTTCAAGTGATAGCCTCCTAGTTAAGGCATCTGTCAATAATAAAATAGGAAGTGATTTTTTTAATTCTGGTCTTTATCAATAAAGCAAAATAATAGGTTAGATAAACACTCATTTGTAATTAACTTGTTGCTTGACTTAAATCCAAATACGTATGTGTCAAACAAAAAATGTTATGCAGTGTGATTCTGCTAATAGCTTTCAATACATTATCCTAAGAAAATGCTGAGATTCTCAGGGTGGTTAAAGGGTATGGGTTTTGTCCCAATAATGTTCAGACTCTCTTTTTTCAATCAACCTTCTGCTGCCATTCTTCTGTGACCTGCTGTGGTCTGCAAGAGCATGGTGTCTTTCTTATACCTGCAGACAGTTCTCAAGCTGTCTGTAATGTTCAAAACTTAAATTTTTAAGTATGGTCTTATTGATAATATAGAAAATTTTCTATAGATATTATCTATAGATAATATAATAATTGTCCTCACTTTTACTCTTCCTAATTTGCCATCCCTTCTTCCAGTGTGTGTTAGGCTTCCTGAGAGGGGTGGTTGTCTTCTTTCTTTCTTGTATTTTATTTTCTTTTTTGGCTCAGTGGAGTTCAGAACTCTTGCTGGGGTGCTTTAGGTGACAACATTCTCAAAATTTATGAAGGGCAAACTGATTTTTCTCCTCAGCATTCAGGAATGTAGTGCCAGATAGGCCACCTATTCGTTGCTGAGGCCTGAGACAAGCCCAGTTACCGGAATTGCTCATACTTGCGCAGACGCAGGGTCAGGGGAGACTCTCCCACCCTATACCTTCTCCTTGGTCTCTTGCAGGCCACAGAGACCACCAAGTGTGGTGGTTGCTGACGCTAACATTCCCCAGGAAGTCCACAGACTTCTACAGGAAAAATTCCTCCTAAGACTTGCCATCTCAATGCTCTGGTCCCCGTGATGCTTGTCTCCAGATACTCATCCAGACCATAGTGGTAAAGAGTGTTGGATGGTTGTCTGCCCTCAGACGTCTACAGAGGCCAACCACCGCCTGCTGTAGCAGTTGACACTGAGGAGGTGGAAGAGAAAGGAGGAGAGTCTTTAGAGCACCATTTTCCCAGAATCCCTTGCTCCAAGACCCCCCCCCCAACCCTTATCACTATTACACACATACCTCACATTTTTTTAACTGAAATTCAAATGTAACTGGTGAGCCTTCATTTTTTATTTGCTAAAAGTCTGGCAACCTTACTTTAAGTGTATTTATTGAAAAACAAGAAAGACTAGAGAAATTAATTAGGCATTCAAGTCAAGAACCTAGAGAACAAGAGCATAACACAATAGACCAAATAAAGTAAAAAGAAGGAAATTAAAGGCAAAAAATTAATGAAATAGGGAAAAAAGACCAAATAAAAGCAGTAGGCCTACCTTCAAAAAAATGAAAAATCGGTTTACTGACAAGAGCAATAAAATAAACCTCTGGCAAGTAAAATGAGGTAAAAAGAAGGAGGAGTAAATAACATTTGAAACAGAAATCAGATTTTGAAAGAGGTTCATTTTAAATTACAACTTTATACTAACAAATTTTAAAGTCGAAATGAAAAGCAGTTTCAAAATACAAATTACTAAAGTATGATTAAGATGAAAGATAAAAGCTGGACAAACAAAAATAACTGTAGGGAGTTATAGAGCTTCTCTTGTTGGTTAAATAAGTCTTATGTTATAAATTTTCCATAGCATAGAAAAATTTCAATACTTTCCAGCTCATTTTGAAGCTTGCATAACCCTGACACAAAAATTGAATGAGTGACACAAGAAAAGTAGAGATTAGTTTTGCACACTTACAGAAAGTTGTTTTTTACATCTTGTTTGGGGGGAGAAAAAGTGTGTTGTACAATAGTCATGCAAAGTATTATTTCATTGTTATCTTAAAAAATAATGTATTTGTGCCTGAATTTGTGTCTTTGTATGTACATATGTAAGCTATACTGAGAAAAATGTGTCTGAAAGGATACACATAAAATGATTAAGTGTTAAGACAGTACTGGAAGAGAAAGGTGAGAGGAAATGGTCACTCTTCATGCATTGTGGTTACGTTTTGAATATTTTTACAGCAAACATGCATATTGTACAACACAGAAAATTATTTTTAAAATATACTTTACTTTAAATATAGGGCTTCCCTCATAGCTCAGTTGGTAAAGAATCTGCCTGCAATGCAGGAGACCCCAGTTCGATTCCTGGGTTGGGAAGATCCCCTGAAGAAGGGAAAGTCTACCCACTCCAGTATTCCTGGGCTTCTCTTATGGCTCAGCTGGTAAAGAATCTGCCTGCAATACAGGAGACCTGGGTTTGATCTGGGTTTGATCCCTTGGTTGGTAAGATCCCCTGGAGAAGGGAAAGGCTACCCACTCCAGTATTCTGGCCTGGAAAATTCCATGGACCATCCATGGGGCTGCAAAGAGTCGGACACAACTGGTCATCTTTCACTTTCACTTACTTTAAATACATTGCAAGAGTCCCTACGGGACTTTACACATGGTTTCTTCACCTATTGCATTCCAATGGAACAAAACAAATTTTTTCCAAATTATTTGATTACATATCCACTAAGTAGGAAATAAAGCAAATCCTGAGACATCTCCCATTTTTGTTTTCAATGAATAAGAAGTTGTGACCCTGACTCAGCTTTTACTTCTTGGAAATAATTTTATTTTAGAAACTGACTTCACAGTGACCCTGCATCCACACATTATGAGGTTTTTTATTACACACTTGTCTATAGAGGGCTCGGGACACCGTCATTCTCAGTGCTGCTTCATTTTCTTTATACAACAAAGACACTTGGGATTTGAACTCAGAGGAATATAAGAAACCAATTTTTTGATGAATTCAAATAGTATAAAAACTGGTCTTTTGTGGATTGTTTTAAAGGGATATTGTTATGGATTAAATACTATTCAAAGATGCATTTTTATAATTCCCTCTTTAGTATTATGAGAACAGTGCATTAGTAGTGTTCTTCAAACTCTGAATGATATTTCTAGAATGAAGATATAATTAAGGAGAAGAGAAGGCATTTGGGAGATACAAAGCACTTCTGTCCAGTGGCTCTCAAAGAAAACTTCGTCCTACAACCAGGCAACCCAGAAGAAGCAGCTAAATATCGAGAAAAGATCTATTACTTTTCAAGTCCTGAGGCTAAAGAAAAGTTTTTGGAGCAACCTGAGGAGTATGTGGCTCATGATGAACCATTAAAGGTGAAAACAATATCCCTATCCTGACAACTGGTCCTGCATCCTTGTTTAGAGACTTGCTACCAGTCTCCACCATTTTACTCAATAGTGAAGTCACCGATATAATAAAACAGTATGGTGGCAGTATCTAGGTTTTAAGAACAACTTTTTGGAATATAACATAATCTAATTATCTATGTGATATCTTCAGTAATGCCTTACATCAAACCAACACATATTTTTTTAGCTGAAGTATTTAATAAGAAGTCACAGTTGAATTTATTGCTTGTAATTTTATTGGATTTATTTTATTGCCTAATCATTTTGATGTACCATTTTAACATCTAATTTCTTGTTAGACTTTTTTCCCCACAATATTGTGATTTTTGTCATTGTGGATATGAAATAGTACTTAGGAAATCTTTGGGCATATCATTCTTTCTTTCTCTTAATTATTTTATTAGTATAATTCCATTGGGATTACAAGATCAAAATTATAAATCATAGTATATTGTCATGGGGCTTCTCTGGTGTCTCAGCAGTAAAGAATCTGCCTGCCAGTACAGGAGAGGTAGGGTCAATCCCTTTGTATGGAAGATGCCCTGGAGAATGAAATGCCAACCCACTCCAGTATTCTTGAAAATTCCATGGACAGAGAAGCCTAACAGGCTACAGACCATGGGGTTACAAAGAGGTGGGCACGACTCAGCCACTAAACATATTGTCAAGACTTTCAATAATACTGATGCCTTGCTAAACAGAACATGTAAAACACAATTTAAACTCTTCCAGATAATTTGGACCATTTTCATGGCTATTGCATACACCTTTAAACTCTTCTCTGAACATTTCCTTCACAAGGACAAAAGGTGATGAGGCTGTGCTTGCTTCCCTTTGCTGCTCAAAATCCACTACTGCCAGCCCCTTTGAGGCTCATTCCATCCAAATATATCACCATCTCCCACTCCTGCTGTCACCTATAAATATCAGAGTCATTGCCCCACATTTACAAAAGATTTATCTGCTCCTTCATCCCAAACCTCATCATTGTTCTTGACCAGCTTGAGCATCAATGGACAGTCCATACACCTGGATCTCTGTGGATTCTCTGGTTTGGGGGCTTCCCTATCTCCCATGGACAGAGGAGCCTGGTGGACTACAGTCCACACAGGTCGCAAGAGTCAGACTTGACTGAGCGACTAACACTTTCACTACTTTCACTTTATCTCCAATACAGAGATTACAGATTTAATGAAGGTACCTCTAACATTCCTGTATAGTGGGCTTTTTGTTTGGTAGAGAGGTTTTGGTGGTGGTGGTGGTGTTTTTGTCGTACTAAGAAAATGTCTTTGCATTCTTCCATAATTCAAACTTTTTAAAAGAAACAAAATTAATTTTATTTTATTAAATGTCTTTTGGCACTGGATCTCAAGATGCTCTGTATTTGTTGATGCTCCCTGAGGATCATGGTTGATGCCATGAATCATGTTAATTGGTATCCTAATGTCAAAACATCCTTGAATTTGTGAAGTAATAATTCAGTCTTAGGGAGAGCAGTTAATAAGCCTTAGGTTCTCTAAATTCTTAAAGCTGCTTCTTCTTCACTGTTCCTCTCCTCTACTCCCATCTTTGATTTATCCCCTATTTCAGGCTCCACCATTAAGAATATGCCTTCTCGGCCCCCATGGCTCTGGCAAAACTGTCTGTGGAAGACAGCTGGCAGAAAAATTGGGCATTTTTCATATTCAGTTTGAAGAATTTCTTCAAGAAAAACTAATGCTAAAAACTGAAAAGAAAGTTGGACCTGAATTTGAGGACGATTCTGAGGATGAACAACTTGTAAAACAAGAACTTGAAGAGCTTGCAATTAAGGCCAATGTTACAATTGAGGAAGAAAATACAAAGAAGCTGGTAGGAATATTAATACTTTCATTGCAGATAATTGTGCTTACTGGTGTTACTTTGAGGGAGTAGAATATAAGTAGTATAAAACTCCATATATAAAATTTCGAAGAAGTAAAATAAAAAATAGCCCATAAAAGTAATTTAAGAGTCATATTCTCAATATATTAAATACAGATCTTGCTACTCATCTAGAATATAGAGTACTGAGTTTTACATGACTCCAGTGAAAAACAGAAAAGCGTTCCCTGACAAGAGTGTTGTATAGCATTTATTTGGGGCTGTTATTTGATGGACTACCCAGGTGGGTAGTCCTGCATGAGATGCAGGTTCAATCCCTGCATCAGGAAAATTTTCCTGGAGAAGAAAATGATAACCAACCCCAGTATTCTTGCCTAAGAAATCCCATGGACAGAGGAGCCTGGTGGACTAAAGTCCATGGAGTTGCAGAGTCCAACACAACTTAGTGACTAAGCAACAATATTATTTGAGATGTCTGATCTAGATGATAAGATTTCTGTTATTGTGTTCTGTTTTCTATTTACTAATAATACTATAAAAAATCTGCCCCCACACCAGTAGAAATCTCAAAATATTAATTTCTAATAATCCCTCATAAGAAAGTTTTTATGTATCTTTTCGTTGTTCTTCAGCACTCAGTCGTGTCTGACTCTTTGCAGCCTCATGGACTGCAGCATACCAGGCTTCCCCGTCCTTCACCATCTCTCGGAGTTTGCTCAAACTCATGTCAATTGAGTCAATGATGCCATCCAACCATTTCATCATCTGTCACCCCTTCTCCTCCTGCCCTCAATGTATCTCTTAGGTGGTTTCTATCTGGGTGTATAGAGAAAGTTCATTATTTTAACTCGCCTTTTAATCATTTCTGATATATCTGAACCCTTTTTTTCCAAATGATCTTCTATAAATGGACACATGTACAGACTATATTAGATGACCGCCTGCCTGGTCCATTCTCTAATCAGGATGTAGAATGAGTAGTTATAAGATAGGTGACAAAAATCAGTTAAGCTTTATAGGTGTGTGATATAGACTGATCTTGGTTTTAGTAAAAATGATGAGACAATCAAAATTAGTCATGCTACTTGCTAGTAGCTCCTCTTAGCAATAATAAATATAATTTCATATCCATCCTAAAGGAAATCAGTCCTGAATATTCATTAAAGGACTGATGCTGAAGCTGAAACTCCAATACTTTGGCCACTTGATCCAAAGAACCAACTCATTGGCAAAGACTCAGATGATGGGAAAGATTGAAGGGAGAAGGAGAAGGGGACAACAAAGGATGAGATGGTTGGATGACATCACCGACTTAATAGACATGAGTTTAAGTAAACTCCAGGAGTTGGTGATGGACAAGGAGGCCTGACGTGCTGCAGTCCATGTAGTCACAAAGAGTCAGACATGACTGAGCGAATGAATTGAACTGAACTGATATTAAGTATTAGTTTAAAGAAAAGAACTCAGATTTTTAAATGCTTACAAACAACAGTATAAAAAATGACCTGAAAAAAACAGGTCTTATATTAACTATGTAACATATTACTATTTATCAATATACAATTTTAAGTTTTGCTTGTTTTATAATTTTTGTTTGTAGCCTCAGGAAGTGCAACTTACAGACGAAGAAGAAGCAATCAGATTAAACCTAACAGAAAATGAGCCATTGCCTCCTGAAATCCTTGAAGCAATTCTTTCTGAGTGGTGGTTTAAGGAACCCATATGGTATCTTAATTTATATAGACTTTTATACACCTATTGACTTCCATTTGCTTTATTCTTAAAAGTTAAAAATGTAATCCAACATAAAGTTAGGAATTTTCTCCTTTAATGTAAACTAGTGATTTCACACATTAAAAACATCTAGGAGATTATTTTTAAAATACTGATGCCAGAGACTCCAAACAATTGAATTAAAATTTGAGGTGCAAGGTTGGGACCTAGGCATTGGAGCCTCCCAGGGGATTCTAATGTGTGGTCGTGACTGTGTGTGTATGCTTAGTAGCTCGGTCATGTCTGACTCTTTGCAACCCTATGGACTATAGCCCATCAGGCTTCTCTGTCCATGGGATTCTCCAGGCAAGAATACTTGAGTGGGTAGTCATTTCCTTCTTCAGGAGATCTTCCCAAGACCCCTGACCAGGGATCGATCCCAAGACCAGGGATCAAACCCAGGTCTCCTGCATTGCAGGTAGATTCTTTGCCATCTGAGCCACCAGGGAAGCTCAGTCATGATTAGGAAATACATGCTTAATACATGTATTAAGCATACATCTTGATAAAAAGATTACTGCTAATCACGAAGAACAAATATCCCAAGTTAATGATTTTAGTGCTTTCTCTACGTATGGGAAAATGCAAGAATCTGGGGTCATTGAAATCCTTCCTGAGATATGCAGTCTACTATCTAGGGGCCCATTTATCCAATAGACAGAATGCCTCACCCTATTTTTTTCATTCTGAATTCTTCTCAGGGTGCATTGTCAGTAGGTGACTGCAGTGGGTTGTGATTTAACCCCCATGTTACTGGTTGGTGAGCAACACTCTTTGTTTATGTTTATTTGTTATTCACATCACTTAATAGCTGTCCATAGTCTTATACCTTTACCAAAAGCCAGGAACAACTTAATCCCAGACAGAACAAATTTAAGAGTTACAGGTCACCTGAATGTAAAACTTTGCCTCAATTTTCTAACCACAATTGATATCCACCAGAAGAAAGTGAAATGATATTTACAGTACTGCTAATAGCAAACACATATATGGAAGTTACTGTGTGTAAGATACTGTTCTTCTATATTGTATTTATATTAATTTCCTTGATCCCTATAAATACCCTATGGGACAGGAACTTTTATTTTCTCATTTTGGAGATAAGGAAGCTATATCAATGAGAATTAAAAAAACCTAGCAGGTCCCAGTGCTCCTCTGGTCATTCTCTTTTACTTAGTACCTGATCTAACTGAGTAAGTGAGATTATTAGTCATTTTAATTTTAATTTCTTATTCCCTTAATTAGATCAATAGTTGAGGTAAACTTAGGCATGTTGCTTGCAATAACATAACCATGGAATGTTCTTTATTAACTTAGCTCTTAACCTCACATCATACACACACAAAAAAAAAAGACAAAAACTTATGGATTGAAGAAAAGTAAAAAGTGAAATTCTAAAAGCCCAAATAAAATAGCTGAACATTAGCGCTACCCTCAAAACTTAATATAATGAAAAGTTTGTAACAGCATGAGAAATTTTAATATATAATGTTAAACTAAAAAAAGAGGATACACAGGAATTACTCATGATTCTTTGCCATCTGAGCCATCAGGGAAGCTCAGTCATGATTAGGAAAGATGTATTTGTTGAACAAATGAAGAACAAACTAGAAAGAAGCAAAACAAAATGTTGATAACCTCTTGGATGTGAGATTATTAGATAATTTTGTCCTTTCTTTGTGCTTTTCTTTATTTCTTGTTTTCTATCGTGAAATATATTGCTTTTATAATTAGGAAAAAATCAGCACATTTTAAAAAGGCCTCAATCCTAGAGAGAGCTTATTAGTTACTGAGGTATAGCTAATTACATTACATTACTGAGGTATAATGGTAGAAATGAAAATGTTGATTCAGAAAAGGGTTTGCCGAGACGTAGCTACTGTATGTGAGAAGCAGGAGGGAGTTGAAGGGTGTCTGAAGTTTGGCCCCGGACACTAGTGAGTCAGAGGAAGAGCCATGTATAAGGGTAACAGTGAGCATGATTTTTGATAGTATGATGCATATGTAACTCCTGAAGGGCACTCAGATAGAGAACCTAGGCAGTTTGTAGAAAATTCTAAATAAAAATTAAAAAAAGAGCTTGGATGTAGAGGTAAAGATTTAGATGTCATTAACAAAGAAGTGACAACTCGAACAGAAGAGATTTTGCTGAAGGCATCTCTGAAGAAAAGGAAAGATATCTTAAGGCAATATATATAAATTTGCCCATTTAATTAGAAAGGATACAACATTTCTAAATGCCAGTTAAGAGCTAAAACTATCAAATGTTCTTGAAAACCCTATTCATATGAAGAAGAAAATGTATATTTAAATATAAATAATTAAACCAAATTTTAGAGAGACAGAATAAGTTCATTCAAAAAGGGACCAAACTAAACCAAGCCAAGTTCTCCAAGCCTGTGTATGTGTTCAGTCACTGATTTGTGTCCAACTCTTCATGACCCCATGGACTGTAGCCCACCAAACTCCTCTGTCTGTGGGATTATCCAGGCAAGAATACTGGAGTGGATTGCTATTCCCTCCTCTAGGAGATATCCCTGATCCAAAGATCGAACCCATGTTTCCTGCATCTCCGGCATTAGCAAGCAGATTCTTTCCCACTGTGCCACCTGGCAAGCCCTCTCCAAGCCTGATTGTATTATAAATATTCCCTAGTGAAAATGTGTTAACATTCCAAGTTATTTTCTTGATTCTTAAAGTTTTATCATACTTGGGCAAGTTTGATGATCCTATTTGAATATAATCGTCCTACACATATGAGCTAAGAAAACATTAATAATTGTCACTGGTTACAAAAAGAGTGAGGGAAGAGGGTATAAATTGTCTCATGAAAAGGAACATCATTAGAAGAAAAATGACTAAAAGGATTCTCAATAAAGAGGGGTGGGGGTAGAGAGGCAGCCAAACAAACTCTTTACATAAAGGGTGACACCTTCATTAGGCTGGGCACTCATCCCAAGCAGGGAACTTACTTTCTCCTTCCCTGTGATCTTCTCACAACTTTTAGTAAGCTTGTATTTAACAGTAATTGTCTATAAACTGATTGAAATTTTATACTATAAATATCAAATATTATAACTTTAATTTGATACATTTGGGAGAAGAAGCAGCATGTTTATACAAGTAGAACTATTAAAAGAAATAAAAGATACTACAGTAAACTAAACTTTTTAAAAGTTTCATTGGACATCTAATATAAAGTTGAGATTTAGCAGTACTTTTTTTCATTTTTAAATCAATATTTATAATAGAATAGTTTAAGCAAATAAAGTAAGTTATGAAATTTCCACATAGTTCCACAGGTTTTATATTAGATGGTTTCCCACGGTATCCAGATGAGGTCCAGTTCCTGGGGGAACATGGGCTTTTCCCAGATGCTGCTGTGTTTATACAAGTTGATGATCAAGATATTTCTGATCGCCTCCTTCCTGTCCAAATTGGAAAGTGGAAAGTGAAACAAAACAAGAGATTGGAAAGGAAAAAACTCATCAAAGAAATGAAGGAGAAAATCAAGGTATGTATCCATTTGAAAAAGCATGAGGGTAAATGTGTTCAGCAACTATCCAATTTCTAAAGTGACCTTTACAAAAATGTAGTTTTCTGATTTTAATACCACATTCAGTATGCAAACTATTTTTATCAAATTTTGACAATTTATCATGAAAGAGTTAAGAATTATTTGAGGCTTTTGTGATTATCTACATGTTAATGCTTCTCTCTTCAAGGCAAATAAAATTAAAGATAGTGGCTGCACCAAAGTATCCTTGTACTAGACATGGGAGCACAGTGAACGAGGCAGCAAGTAGAGCAAATCTTAAAACACAAAGACAAAATTTTCATTGACTTTCATTAGCTCCTGGAATGTTGATACCAACCATCAAGGTCATTTTAGTCCATAGTGAAATAAATCCAGGTATTAGCTTAGAATATCTTTTCTTAAACTGTATTCTGAGAAGTTTCCATAAAATGTTCAAAAGTGTCATAGGGAACCTATGTGATTGCACTCCTAGGAATCTATGTAACAAAAATGAAAACAGTCCATGTAAAAATGTGTTTGTGAAAATTTACACAGCATTGTTCATGATAGCCAATAAGTGGAAACAACTCAATGTCCATCAGCTGATGAATGGATAAACAAAATGTGACAAATATCCAGATAAGTTCCCTTGGGTTACAACTCCAGGTGGCAACATAGGAGTCTTCTGAACTCAGTCTACTCTGAAAGAAATCCAGAAACTAGTTGGAGAAACTAGTCTAGGAGAAGCTAGATTCCTGCATATTGGGTAAATGAGAAAATACCCACATCACCTATTAATACATCAAAACAGCTACTACCTGAAGATCTTGGCTTCCTATCAGTTTATACGGACTGTGATCCTCCCGTTTGGAACACTGATAGGTCATGGCACACCCTTAACTACAGGAACTGCTGAAAACCAAGAAGATGGCTTACACAAGCACAAAGGCTTGAGAGATGGCCAGGACCTCAGGCCAACCTGAGCTGTATTCATCTGCTACACACAAGACCAGGAGAGGTGGCTGCTTTATCTAATGTGCAGAAACCAACACAGAGAGTCAAAGAAAATGAATAAACAGAGGAATATATTCTGAACAGAGGAAGAAGATAAAACTCCAGAAACAAATCTTACTGAAACAAAGATAAGTGATTTATCTGATAAATAGTTAGAAATAATGGTCATAAGGATGCTCACCAATGTCAGAAGAACAATGCATAAACAAAGTGAAAAACTTCAACAAACAGAAAATAAACATACCAAACAGAAGTTATAGAGCTGAAGAATATAGTAACCAAACTAAAAAATTCAGCAGAGGGATTCAATAGCAGACTCTAGACACATAAAGCAGTGAAACAAAGTAGAAAGCACAGAAATAATCCTACGCATATATTGTCAGTTAATTCATGACAAACTAGCCAAGAATGTACAATGGAGAACAGATGGTCTCTTCAATAAATGGCATTGGAAAAACTGTACAGCCATATGCATAAGAATAAAACTTGACACCTATCTTATACCATACACAAAAATCTACTCAAAGTAGATCAAAGACTTGAAACACAAGCCCTGAAACCCTAAAACTCCTCTAACAAAAAGGGGTAAGCTCCTTCACATCAATCTTAGCAATAACTTCTTTTATTTGACACCAAAAGCAAAAATAAATAAGTGGGACTACCTCAAACTAAAAAAACCTTCCAAGCAAAAGAAACCATCAACAAAATAAAAGACAGTCTAGGAAATAGGAGAAAGTATTTGCAAATCATATACCTGATAACGGGTTAAAGTCCAAATTACATAAAGAACTCACACCACTCAGTATCAGAAAACCAATTACATGGAACTCCGCTCAATGTTATGTGGAAGCCTGGATAGGAGAGGAGTTTGGAGGAGGATGGGTATATGTACAGCTCCGTCCCTCTGCTGAAACATTGTTAATGTTAATTGTTAATGTTAACAGCATTGTTAATTGGCTATACACTAGTACAAAATAAAAAGTTTAAACAGAAAAAAACTATGTGAAGGACTTATATAATATTTAATGCATACTAAGTACTCAATATATGTTCATTCATTCTTTCATTCATTGAACACATACTGTGGAACACTTATGAGTCAGGCTGGAGATAAATAACAGTAGACAAAGCAGACAAAAATTCTGTGTTTGTCACAATACCATTTCAATGAGAGATGAATAAGTAATAAATAAATTGAAGTCTTATATTCAATTGTAATAAGGGAAATAGAGAACAGTAAATTGTGGGAGGGGAATAGGGAAGAGGGAGTTGAGAGAGAAAAAAAAAAAAAACAAGCAATCTAATTTTTTAAGTGGGCAGATGAACTGAATAAACATTTTTCCAAAGAAGGCATGACCAACAGATACATGAAAAGGTGCTCAACATCAGTAATCATAAGATAAATGCAGATCAAAATCACAATGAGATATCACCTCTCACACCTGTTAGGGTGTCTAAATAAAAAAAGAGAACAGAGATAAAAGCTGATGAGGATGTGGAGAAAAGGAACCCTTGTACACTGTTGATAGGAATGTCACTATGGAAATCAGTATGGAGGTTCCTCAAGTAATTAAAAAATAGAATTACCATATGATCCAGGAATCCCACTTCTGGGTATATGTGTCCAAAGGAAACAAAGTCACTATCTCAAAGAGATATATCTTCTCCCATGTTCATAGCAGCATAATTCACAATAGTCAAGGTATAGAAACAACCTATGTCTGTCAACAGATGAATGGACAAAGAAGATGTGGCATATGTATGTATACAATGGGATATTGTTCAGCCATGGGAAGGAAGGAAATCCTGCCATTTGCAACAACACAGGTGAAGCTTGAGGGCATTATACCAAGTTAAACAAGCCAGACAGAGAAAGACAAATACTGCAAGGTATCACTTGTATGTGGAATCTGGAAAAAAAATCAAACTCATAGAAAGTATAAAAGTGGTTGCCATGGGCTAGGGGGTGTGAGAAATGAGGAGAGGTTGGTAAGATGATATAAAAAAAGTTCAGTTATAATATGAATAAGGCCTGAGGATCTAATGTATAACATGATGACTATAGTTGATAATATTGTACTGTGTAATTGAAATTTGGCAAGAGAGTAGAACTTAAATGTTGTCATACACACAGGATAAGTATGTGAGGTGATGGATGTATTACTTAACCAAATGGGAGAAGAGTCCTTTCACAATGTATACGTACATCAAATCTTTATGACACACACATTAAATAGCTCCCATTTTTACAAAGCTGGAAAAATAATAAATATAGTATATTTATATAATGGAGTAGTACTCAGTATTTGAAAGGAATGAACTATTGATACTCCCTACAAAAGATCATTATGCTAAGTGAAAGAAACCAGGCAAAGAAAATAGTATTATATGTACTCTATGATCCATTCCATTTATATGACAAGTCTTGAAAGGACTCATTTACAGATCTGGATTGAGTAGAATGAATGGAACTTTCAAATCTGGAACTGAGAAGACCAAGATGAGGCATGAGCACAGTGGTAAATTATGTGATAGTCTTCTATGCTGAAGAGAAATTGTTGTGTTCCATGTGGCCATAGGCAAAAGAAACAGCACTGGTAGGAGAAAGGTACAGGAAGATGTATTTCACTTTTAGTAAGACTTTCCAAAAAGAACAAAGACCGAAGGCAGTTGAGCTACTTATCGAAGGCAGATAAGCATAGACTAAGTAGACATTTGGTAGGGAGAATATGGAAGAAAGCTCTCTAGTGTCAGAGAGTTAATCAGTTAACTCCAATTCTGAGATACAATGAGTTAAATTATTGGATACATTATCACAACCCAGTACTCATTAATGCATTACGTGTTAAAACCATGAAGATCCTCTTTCACTGCTCAGACACAGTTGTCAAATTCTTTACATCCTGGACTTAGTTGGAGGAAATACCTCTAAAGGCATTTCCATCCATCCATTTGCACCACCACAATAAGACCGCATGCCCTGGAACTAAGATTGCATGCCCTGGAACATGGACCTGGTGATCCAGTGGCTAAGACTCCACGCTCCCAGTGCAGGGGGCCCAGGTTGGATCTCTGATCAGGGAACTGGAACCCACATGCTACAACTAAGAGTTCACGTGTCACAACAAAGATGGAAGATCCTGTGTATAGCAACTAAGATCCTGTGAAGCCTCCCCCCCAAAAAAAAGGGATTGCCTGTCCCAGGCCATCCGTGGCCAGCACAAAATCAAGGCAAGCCCAGCTCTCAGTCTTCCAAGAACTATGAAAGTAAGGAGGGAGATGTGGAGAGACCCCAAGCTTCACACACTGCTGTGTGACATCCTTCGCTTTTCTGCTACTGATCTCTGAAGGAAATGGGCCCAACTGTCTGCTAAGCAAGAGGCTCTGTAAGCTTGAGAATGGAAAAGAGAGCAGAGGGCTTACCAAAGCACAGATGCTTGTTACCTCCCTGTGGCACCCGGCACCTCTAGACCGGTGTTATCTTAGAACTCTCTGTGCTGAAGGAAATGTTCTGTCTCTTCACTGTCCAGTACAACAGCCACTAGCTTTGCTGCTATCAAGCACTTAAAATGTATTTAGTCAGTGAGGCTGAAAAAATCAAATGTTTAATTTTGTTTAACTAGAAAAGAGCTGCAGGTGGCTTTGTTGTTGTTCAGTCGTTAAGTCATGTCTGACTCTTTGTGACCACATGGACTGTGTGTAGCGCACCAGGCTCCTCTGTCCTGCACTATTTCCCAGAGTTTGCTCCAATTCATGTGCATTGAGTTAATGATGCTGTCCAACCATCTCATCCTCTGCCAGCCCCTTGTCCTTTTGCCTTAAATCCTTTCGCAGATGGCTAGTAGCTGCCCTATTGGACAGAGGAGCTCTAAAGCAATCAAGCCCCATCCTAGCCATCACATGCCCTAAAATTTGTAGAGCATGTAGAACAGGAAAGAGCAGATTTCTGGAGCTAGTTCATAACCTTATGCATTTGCTCCTTTCTTTTCACACTCACAACTCAGGCAAAAGAGATTGTATTTTTATAGCTTTACAGTTAAAGTATCTATGGTAAAACTTTGGTTTAAAAAAAGGCAATAAGAGTTTTTATAATCCTCACCTTCTGAAAAGCTACAGAATCTCTCTGGGATTCATACATGAAATTAATTTGATTTCATTTGATTTTACAATTCTTTCTTGAATGTCAAGCAAACATACATTATCTGGGATGTACACTCAGTAACTGCCAGATAAAAGGAGCAAGGTGCTACTGGCCTAGACCAGAGCCCCCAGGGCATGTCTTTAAGGTACCTCTCTGATCTCTGAGTATTTAAAGGGACTATAATTTCAAGAGTCATGAGCCAATAAGCCCCAAAACCCAAGGGTAGCTGACTAGCTTTCATGCAAACCTTAAGGTCACATCAGAGGACCCATTCATTGCGTTAGATTTAGAGGCCCCCAAAAAACTAGAGGACTACCCATATACCATATGTGTGAAAGTATCCAAAGTACAAATTCTTTCCTCATAAGCATATGTGGTTTTAGGGTTCTTTAGACAATTACATCTTAATAATATGATGAAAAATTATCAGACATTTTCACCAAATAGCCTCCCTATTTCTTCATGTGCAAAATCCACCTCTCCACCAAGGCAAACAAATAAGTAATACATCTTGAAAAGGGATTCTAAAATTTGAAGAAAAACTGACTGATCCCAGCGCCACTTATACCTCTGGAGGGAAACAGCTGATCAAGAGGGCCAGAGGTCCAAAGATACATGTGACGTAATTATCACCATCACAATCTTTTCTGGAAAGTATCCTTCTAACCAAATGTAATTCCCATTTGGGAAAAAATATTAATATATAGAATGTAATTTTATTATTATCTGTTGACATTTTTAATGCTTCTTTCTTTAACAGGATGATATGATTGCTAAAAGAAGGGCTGAACTTATAACTGAGAGAGAAAAAAGAAGGAAAGGAGGAGTGGTAAGTAAATAAAATGGCTTTTTTCAAAAAATAAAATGGACACATACACACACAAACACCCACACGTATATAAAATATGTATTTTACATATATATTTATATAAAACCTCAACCATGTAAAATGAAAAGATGCATAGTAGTCTTTTTTAATTTTTATTTTATATTGGAGAATAGTTGATTTCCAGTGTTATGTTAGTATCAGGTGTGCAGCAAAGTGATTCAGATATACATATACATATACCTATTCCTTTTCGGATTCTTTTCCCATACAGTTTATTACAGAGTATTGAGTAGGGTTTCCTGTGCTACATAGTAGGCCCTTGTTGATTATCTATCCTTCATATGATAGTATGTATCTGTTAATCCCAACCTCCTAATTTATCCCTCCCCTAAACCTTTCTCCTTCGCTTACCATAAGTTTGTTTTCTAAATCTGCGAGTCTTTTTCTGTTTTGTAAAGAACTTCAGTTGTGTCACTTTTTAGATTCCGCATATAAATGATATGATATTTATCTTTCTCTGATTTACTTCACTTAGTGTGATAGTCTCTAGGTCCATCTCAGTTCAGTTCAGTTCAGTTGCTCAGTCGTGTCCGATTCTTTGAGACCCCATGAATCGCAGCACGCCAGGCCTCCCTGTCCATCACCAACTCCCGGAGTTTACTCAAACTCATGTCCATCGAGTAGGTGATGCCATCCAACCATCTCATCCTCTGTCATCCCCTTCTCCTCCTGCCCCCAATCCCTCCCAGCATCAGGGTCTTTTCCAGTGAGTCAGCTCTTCACATCAGGTGGCCAAAGTATTGGAGTTTCAGCTTCAGCATCAGTCCTTCCAATGGACACTCAGGACTGATCTCCTTTAGGATGGACTGGTTGGATCTCCTTGCAGTCCAAAGGACTCTCAAGAGTCTTCTCCAACACCACAGTTCAAACGCATCAATTCTTCGGCACTCAGCTTTCTTTATAGTCCAACTCTCATATCCATACGTGACTACTAGAAAAACCATAGCTTTGACTAGACGGACCTTTTTTGGCAAAGTAATGTCTCTGCTTTTTAATATGCTGTCTAGGTTGGTCATAGCTTTTCTTCCAGGGAGCAGGTGTCTTTTAATTTCATTTCTGCAGTCACCATCTGCAGTGATTTTGGAGCCCAAGAAAATAAAGTGTCACACTGTTTCCATTGTTTCCCCATCTATTTGCATGAAGTGATGGGACCGAATGCCATGATCTTAGCTTTCTGAATGTTGAGCTTTAAGCCAACTTTTTCACTCTCCTCTTTCACTTTCATGAAGAGGCTCTTTATCTAGAAAGATTAGGAAACATCAAATTAATCAGAAGATTGCAGGCAAGAGGTAATGAGAGGGTAAACAGTAGAGCAGGACTAAAAAGGAGGAGAGAGTCTTACGTACTCTGTCCTTGGAAATGAGATGTACAATAAGCGGGAGTGAGGAGTTGAGGTAACTCCCAGGTTTCTGACTGGAAGGCAGTTTTCCAGTTGGGTGGGACAAGGACTACTTCAGGGCAACATGCCAGGAGACAGTGCAGGATAATAAATAGGATAGGATTCAGTTTTATGCAAATTGAACCACAGTACTTAAAGCCTCTACAATACCACTTAGTATCAATATCCTGTCACAGTCTTTAATAATCATTTATCTGTTATTCTTGTGTCCTAAGATAAGCTGCAGCCTCCTCAGGGGCATGTACTATTCTATTAGAACAGTGCTTTATACAAAATGACAATAATATAATAGCTATAATAACTTAATAATAGGAATAATAGCTATCATTTGCATGCTTACCAGACAGTTTTCGAAGGGCTTTGCATGTGTGAACCTATTTAACTCTGTCAACAATCATGTGAGGGAGGTCCTTTCATTATTCCTGTTTTATAGATGAGGAAACTGATCTTGTCCACGCTAACACAGCTTGGAGTGTTTTATACTCTTTGAGTTGCATGAAACTTTGTTGCTGAAGACAATGAAAAGCATGTAATGTTCTGATGACCATAGCACTAAGTGTTAGAAGCTAATATCTTGTCTATGTATTTATCTAGGGATCACTGTAATGTTAGTCTTAAAGGCATTACATTTCTGGGTACCAGATGTTTGAAATTTTACTGTATCAGTTGATGAATGTTACATACCACACTAACCAATATCCACTTATTCCATAATATCCAGATGAGTAGTTATCCGTGACATGTGTTCCATATTTCAGTTTTATAGCAAAGGGGAATATTTTCTTCCTTAGACTGTTAGAGAAGATGAAGACATGAGTGAGGAAGAACCTGATAACGATGAAGATGATATTGATAACATTCTCGAAGATGAATTTCCAAAAGATGAGGAAGTGATGAGTGAGGAAGAGGAAGAGCAGGAAATTGATGCTCTCGAACGCCTAAGGGGTGAACTCGGAGAAAAATTTGAAGCAGATATGAGTAATTTACAAATAATACAGGTTATTACTTTTTCATAATTCAAAAATTAACATGTGAGAAGGAAACAAAAGCAATTTGGCTTATTCCTTGGTTTCTTTTCAACATTTCAAAAGAAATTTATATTTTTAGGGGTTCAGCCCCTCAGTACCACTTACAATTATAAAAACTAGTTAATAAATCAAGGGCAACACGGAAACCATAGAGGGTCAAAAGTTTTAGCTGCCACCACAGAGTCACCTGGAAGTTTAAAAATACTTGTTTTCTAAACTGAAGTAGTCTATGCACTGTGACTGAATACCACCAGCCTCCTTCCCACTAAAAATATTTGGTTTTATGATTTTTCTGATCAGGAAGAATTTGAGAAGTTTTTGATACCAGTAATTCTCATTAATGGATCTCGAAAAATCCACATTGTCCAATACACATTGAATACAAAACTGAAACCACTGGTAGAGAATCGTGCAAGCATTTTTGAGAAATGTTATCCAATATCATCACGCCTTGCCCAGAAAATGCTCAGCTTTACCTACAAGTATATAAGCTCTTTCGGCTACTGGGACCCTGTAAAGGTAATGCATCTGAAAGTCACATTTCTTCTTTTATTTCTTTTTGAAGTATGTCTAAGAAGACAGTGAATAATTTTAAAAAACTGTAAACATTATACAGTATTCTTAAATAGCTATAAAAATATGTGTTGTTGTTTTGCCTTTCTGAAGTAGGAGATAATTCAGTTCCAACTTGGTTCTAACTCTGCAGCAGAAGTTCATATTAAAAATATTTTCAAACAAGACATCTAGTGAGCTGAGCTTCAGCACTAATTTGCTATTTAATTTTAGGCAAGCCATTTAAATTCTTTGATTCTGTTTCCTGACCTTTAAAGTGGGAAAATGCCATCAGGCCAATGTGATCAAATGCAAGAATTTGAAGTCCTCTGAAAAGTGTGCAATACCAAACAAAATGTGCCTTTAATGTTCATCACAAACTTACTGCCAAGTAGGATATTTTTATGTAGTGTGGACAAACAGATTTGATGTAATTGGAATTCAGTGACTTCAAATGTGGGATGATTTTCAACAACTTTTAAATAAGAACCTTGTAGCTGCTGTTCCAGTCCCTGGGAACAGAGCAGTGAACAAAACAGGCAAGGTTCCTTTTGTTGTGGGCTTTATATGATAGCTGGGTTGGAGAGGATGAACAGGCAATAAATAAGTAAACAAATAGGTTCTAGTTGGGTTTATTAAGTGCTATAAAGACAGTGAAGAAATGCCTTGTAAAGGTACACTGGCCCTCTCGACAAGCGTACCTTCGTATTTCCATCAGTGCGGTGGCACAGTAGTACAGTGGAGAAGACATGGCTTCTGGGGTCAGGCTGCCCAAGCTTAAAACCACTGCTTCCTAGCTGAGTGACCTTGGACAAATTCCTGGACCTCTCTGAGCCATTCCCATTTGCACAATGGGAATAAGAATAGTTCCTCCCTCACAATATTATTACAATTATTAAATCAGTTAATTATTGGAAAGTGCTCACAACCATGCATGGTTTATTGTGAGTGCTCAATTAATATAAGCTGTTATTATTAATGGGCTTCCCTTGTGGTTCAGCTGGAAGAATCTGCCTGCAATGCTGTTATTAATATATGTTCATTACGTATTGATGGTTGAGTCACTGAGTTGTATCTGACTCTTGGGAACCCTTGGGCTATAGCCTGCTAGGTTTCTTTGTCCATGGGATTCTCCAGGCAAGAATACTGGAGTGGATTGCCATTTCCTTCTTCAAGGGATTTTTCTGACCCAAGAATCAAACCCAGGCCTCCTGTATTGCAGGAGATATGTATATAATATGTATATAAAATTATATAATATACATATTTATGTGTATAAGTAATACATATATAAAATACGTAAAAGTAGCTCAGTTGGTAAAGAACCCACATGCAATGCAGGAGGCCCCAGTTCTATTCCTGAGTTGGGAAGATCCCCTGGAGAAGGGATAGGCTATCCACTCCAGTATTCTTGGGCTTCCCTTGTGACTCAGCTGGTAAAGAATCTGCCTGCAATGCAGGAGACCTAGGTTTGATCCCTGGGTTGGAAAGATCCCCTGGAGAAAGGAAAGGTTAACCACTCTAGTATTCTGGCCTAGAGAATTCCATGGACTGTATAGTCCATGGGGTTGCAAAGAGTTGAACACGACTGAGTGACTTTCACTTTCACTTCATAATATGTATGTAAAATATGTTTATAAAATTACATATTATAATGTATAAATACATACAACATTATAATAGTATAAATACATTATAACAATATAAATACATCATAATAGCAATATATATAATATATGTGTAATATAAATATATATTATATGTTTTATATATATAACATATATAATAACAAAATATACAACAATAGTATGAATTATAACATTATAACAGTGTACATACAACATTATAATAACAATGTTGTTATTAATATGTATTACTCTTATTGGTCATTGATAAAAAACATTTTGGAGGAAGGGATCCAAAATAGAGCCATATGCATATTACTTGAAACCTTCTTGGTTGATACTGATACAATCATTTTCAGTTCTACTTAATTGTGATATTAATATCTTCTTTACTTAACCATAAGGGTGTCAAGAGAAATCTTTTTAAATATCATGCTAAAATATAGGAACACTATGAAAAGTCCCTCCATAAATAATCAGATAAAGTTAAGCTTGTATTAGGATCGCTTAGAAAGCTTTTGAAAAATAGTCACACGCTAACCGTCTCTTTGAGATGGGCAATAGAGGGGAAGAAGCAGGCAAAGTCCGAACCCTATTCAAGGGTCCATGTCTGAACATAATTAGGACTGCACAAAAATGCCTTGTGAGTAAATGAGTGCATGGTCATAGGAAGGCTTTAAGCATATAAATAATCATTTTTTAGGGCTGCTGGGAATCTTTCCAGGTGCCCGACAACTTGATGTTTCAGATTTGATGATACCTTGGGTATTCTGACCTATAGAGGAGAAAGATACATGGTAGATATTTTGGGAAATAGCAGAAACCATTGCAAGAATTCATAGTTAATTTGGGAATTTGAAATGGAATCATTAAACTTTCAGCTTTTCTTTTACTACCAAATAAGAAATAGAGCAGACATTCCCACCCCATCCCTAAGCTTCTTCTTATTCCTAGCATTTACACTCAGCTGTGAACATCACTCCAGCCCAGAAATGATGATGCTGATAACTCCATTTACCTGTGACAACTGACCTGGTGTAACTCTCGGTGTGTGTGTTAGTCGCTCAGTCGTGTCCGACTCTTTGCAACCCCATGGACTGTAGCCCACCAGCCTCCTCTATCCATGGAATTCTCTAACTCCTCTGTCCATGGAATACTCTAACTCTAGGGGAGAAGCAATATTACCATACCATTGCCCACCTGCTCTGTCAAGTCCAAGGATGACTGATGCTGGGCCATCTGATGATGTAAAAAAAGATATCCATTAATTACCCATTTATCATCATTACCAGTGCAAAGATGTGGGACCAGTCCTTCCTCTCCATTCCATACCAACACGTTAGGCTGCTGTTTTGGTGAATTTTTCCCTTTTGTGGCTGCTATTCATATTTATGTGAGTGGGATTTTGTCTGTATAAAAATGTAAAAGAGAAGTCAGTGAGATTCATCTGACCACTATACTCCCAAAGATATCCCAGGACTCTACCTGCCATATTGGAATACCACATACTTTAGTCTATCCATGCTGTATTACTGGAATGACATATTTGGACAGCATATTGGAATGCTGTGTTAGTCTGCATTTGCTACCATGTTGGAATACCACAGACTTTGTGACTTAAATGACAGAAATGTATTTTCTTACTGTTCCGGAGGCTGGAGTCCAAGATCATGGTGCCAGCAGGGATGGTTTTTCTGGTGAGGCCTCTCTTCCTGGTTTGTAGATGGCCATTTCTCACTGTGTCCTCAATGCTTTTCCTTTGTGCTCAGGCACTCCTGGTGTCTCTCTTCTAAGGACACCAGTTCTCTTAGATTAGAGCCCCATTCTTATAACCTCATTTAACCTTTGTCATCTCCTTCAAGGTCCTGTCTCCAAATATAGTCACTTTGAGGGTTAGGGCTTCAAACCATGATTTTAGGAGGGCACATTTCCATACATTACACCACCTTAGGAATGGACCTGTTTATGAAGATAAATTGGCCTGTGAATATATCCAAACACCTTTACACTCCTTGGCAGAAACATTCAGTATACACTAAACACATTAAAAAGGAAATAGAACTATAATCATCAGAAACTGAAACCCATTAAAGAAAAATATTTATTGTATGTGAGTATAAAATAACTTGCTCTTTTTACTGTTTCTTAATATCAATATTCAATTATAATTAGTTTTCTTGTTCTATAAGAAAGATTCTACAAATTTGTTTTTAGAAATATATTTGGGGGAAACGCTGTTTAAAATAAGGCTAATTTGTTAATTCAATTGTGTATATATTGCAGCTAAATGAAGGTGAGACCATCAAACCAGTTGAAAATTCAGAGAATCCACTTCATCCTGTAATCCATCGTCAATATGTTTATTTTTTATCTAGTAAGGAAACTAAAGAAAAATTTATGAAGAACCCAATCAAATATATCTGCCAACCCAAACCTAAGCCTACTATCCCCATTAGGATTGCAATTCTGGGGCCTCCAAAATCTGGAAAAACTACAGGTAAGAGTGTGTCTGCCTTTGCTATCTATCCTTAAGCATACAAGAATCTCCTGAAAGTGAGGACTACTTTTTTTTAGGAAACTATCGAAACTGACTCAGTAAGAGGCAGAACAACTAAACAGACCAATAACCACTGAAGAGAAAGCATTCAAAAATATAACCCCACTCCAAAACAGGCCAGGATCAAATGGTTTTGAAGGGAAATTATGTCAACTTTTCAAAAATTAAAAATTCAAGAGATACTTCCTGTGATTTTATAAGTTTTTCCAGAGCAAGGGAAAAGAAAGTAAGCTGTCCAATTTATTTTCAGTTTTTTAAAATTAAGAATATAGTCCATACAATTAAAAAGGTATAAATACAAATTCATTTTTAAGTCAGCATGTCCCTGATATAAAAACTAAATAAAGATAATATAAGAAAAGAAATTACAAACTAATATTATTTATAAATATA